TCCCAGTAAGAGACAGAGCAAAGAATGTGGGCAACATTGACCACTAATTGCATCAAGATTGGATGTAAATTCTTTCTTAAAATGATGCAGCCTAAGCTTCTAGTGGCTGAGTGACCTCTGCTCTGCAGCACAAATAAAAGCAAGTTTCTTACTTGGAGCTGGAGAGAGAGCTGCGTACAGCGGCACTGCCACCTTCTGCCTGCTTGCTTCCAGTGCACAGAAGTACTGGCTTTATCCTGCAAAGCAACACCAGGCAAGGTGCCTCTTCTATGAGTAGGTCTGAGGCAATAACATCTTCCAGTGTTTAGGGATAATACACGTCTAGATTTGCACAGACTTTTTAAAATTTTGTCTTGGCAGAAAAAAAAGGACTTGAGACATCTGCCCAGCCTTTTTAACATACCACATCCCAGCCCGAGCAAAACCCTAAAAAGCCCAGGCCAACATGTAGATTTGTGTACCCTATAAATGTACAGATCAACTTTATGGAGTTACTTTAGATATCTAATATAGTCCTTGTGGTCAGCACAAATATAAGAGAAATGGAAGAGAAGAAAGATGAGTTTTTTTTTTTTTTTTTTTTTTTTTTTTTTGCTTCTGGCTTGGGATAAAGCTTTTAGAAGTTGAGGAGAGACATTTCTATTAGATTGTTCTTGAGCTTGGATGCTTTCCCAAAACACAACCTACTGTGAGTCATTCGGGCTGATCCAGCCACTCTCAGATACTTGATCTCTGAGCCTGGACATAATCACAGTCAATACAGAGTCAGAGGAAAGAAAAATTCCAAAGCAACAAAATAAGGAATGATGGTTTAGGTACATTATAATGAATGTAAATGATGACTGCCTAAACTACATTTTCCCTTCACACAGTTGCATAGAGTTTCATTATTTTCATTCTCCTTCATGACTATTGATGAAATCAAATTAAGAACTAACAAAGACCTTATAAAATATTGAAGCAACAATCTCTGTTCCTTAGCAGCCCATGCTTTAGAAGTTAAAATAGTAAAACAAATTGCCATAAATCCAGTTTGTTAGTGAGATCTCAGCTCACACGCAGTTAATTGGCCTGTTTTGAAGGACTTAACCTGATGGCATAAGAACCTTGAAATAAATCTCTTAACTATGATTAGAGATTCAAAAGAGATTAGCACGGGCAGGAGAGCTGAGGTCTTTTTCTCCATCTCCACTGGCGGGTCTGTGTAAAGTCAGGAGAACTACAGAGACATCTGGAAATCAGTTCCTGAATCTTCCCAGGGATGCATGTTCCGGATATTTTATCCTCTGTATGCTGCAAGGTACCAGTTTTGAGATCTTACTGAGTCCTCTAAATCAGGTTAGTGGTTTCTTTTTTCACAGTGCGTCACAGATAGGAATATTTGTTAAACTGAACAGATTTTACTAAGTTTATGAGATAAAATGTGGCTATTTTATGACAAATTTGCAAGCCAAATTTCTTGGAACAATTTGCATCCAGTAAGTATATTTTATGAACAAATAAATAGCTGTGGGCTGTCATGTTCTATGCAGTTAGTTGATAACAACGAAATATGTAAGTGACATCCTGAAAGCAAACAGCTACAGGATACTGAAGGAAACCCTGTTTGAAGTGCGGTTAGACTAGAAAAGCTCAAGAACAGTATAGATAATATAGGTGAGAGCTTCACATTTATTGGGCTGCTTCTGTTGAAAGGAATATTTCTCTTCTTGATTGTTGGGAAAAAAAGTGGCTGCATGGGTATGCTTTATCATGTTGGAGTCGCTCATGTAAAACAGCGATGCGGAGGCTGGATAAATGGGCTAGTTCCACAGAAATGCTAGGAGCATTTGTGGTTTTACAGTAGTCACTTTTGCAAATGTAATTTAGAGAGCAGCAGATATATATGGCAGAGTAAGATAATGCCACTTTTAGCTCATAATTGCACTTCAGGTCTTCCAGCTGGAAGATCTCTTGCAGTAGACTGAAAACTAAGCATACACAAAAAGAATCCCCTGGGAAATACCCACTTAGGAGCCGGGAACATGAGACCTCCTGCCTATTTCACAGAAAGGAACGGCGGGTGAGGCAGTCATGGGCACTGGCCCTGGTGCCTCAGTGCCACGGTGGCAGCCAGGAGCCCAGACCAGCAGCTTCCCTCTGCTGTTGCGTGCGCGGAGACGGCAGCGTCAGGGACAAATAAACCTATTTGCGGCAGCCACGGACAACTATTTAAGTTCAAGTCATGAACTGCTTAACTGCGGAAGCAGTCAGAGCTACTGTCAGTCAGAGCGACTGTCACCAGACTTAGCAGACAGGCTGTCAGCTGAATTCATATGCGGCCTTACCTCTCTGCCAGCACTGTATGATCCTTTTAAATGAGGCTGAACTATACTATTGAGGAATGAAGAAAATATTATGATTTTATAAATTATTTTCAATTATCATTTTTTCATCATTACACTCAATATGACTATCACAATATGATCATAAGCAATAGTCAATTATAACTGAAAACCAGCCTTAGTAATTATTAAAAATAGGTCCCTGCTTTTGAAGTCAAAGAGTGTTGCTGGCGTCAGTGCCTTTGGAAGTCAGGAAGTCATGTAAGGAAAAACATTGTGTATTTTGCACAGTATTCTATGTACTGTTCTGTATATTGTACAAGTAATACACAGATGAGTAACTTACCGGGGAATTGGTTTCCTCACTAACTAAACACAATGCAAAATAAGTGCAGCATGAATAAATTAGCACGCATAGTGAGGAAGATGTGTTGATATTCAAGAGCATGAAGACATCTAACCAAATCCCAAAATGAACAGAGCAGCCTTTTCAAAGTTTGCACAAATACAGTTCTTCCTTCTTACATCTACATTAGAAGGCCCTAGGATATCGTTACCATTTTAAACTGCACTCTATAGTGTTTGTCTGCAGAAGGGTTTTGTGCCTTTCTATGTGATACTGGTCTTATTCAGATAAAGTTAAGTAGTAGAGCGTGAAGCCCACTAGCTTTAAAGCAGTTATACATGAATAAAGCTGTATGTACTTTCCCATTTTCCCAAATATACATGATTATGTTTTACTGTTTATAAAAGCCAATGTATTAACAGAATTGTATCCAAAAGATGGCTCCATAATTACATCAGTATAAATTTATAAAGTATCAGATCACTCTAATAAAAAAAAATCTGAATTAGTACAAAACCACATTTCAAGCAGGTTTTGTGGGGAGAAAAAGAAGAGCTCCATATTCTCACATGTGGTGAGGAAAGGCAATCACAAAGGATCAGAAACATTAAAGAAGGGTAAAAGTTCATGGCTTGAGCTGAGATCCTCCAGCACTCTGGTTCCACACCATATCCTGTGCACTAAAAACACGCTGTCTCCAGCACCATCTTTTGAGCTTTAATCCTCAGGTGTTCTCAGCTGCTCACTGTGACTGCGGTATGACTGGAGAGGTGCAAAGGAGCAGTTGGCAGAAGCAGGGTAAACATGCTGGGAAAGGTAGTATCTTTTCTTAGACCCACTAATAGCTGGGGTAAAGGAGATAACCTTTGGACCATTAACTCCTCCTTCAGGTGAGAAACGTTCAAATAGCAAATATGAGGCTGCCTGTATGCGCGTGGGGGTGGAAGGCCCCCCTGAATGAGGTTCAGCAGTGTGACCTTTGCAGAGAAAAATAAAAGGAGCTTTGGATTAGAGAGGAATGTTAGAAAGTGCTACCTTTCTTCTTGAGGAAGAAAGAGAGAGAGAGAGAGAGAGAGAGAGAGAGAGAGAGAAAGAGAGAGAGGTCATTAAGCCAGGAAGCGGCAGAGGGTTGAGCAGCCAGCGGGGTGGGAAGAAAGGTGCAGCGTGCCAATCTCTCTCTACAGTCCAGGTGGCTTAGTTTCCAGTCCAGTTTAAGCTTTAGTCCTAGACTTTCTTTTGTAGGGTTTTTTTTTTTTGAGGAACAGAAATATCTGTATTATGAAAAATATTCTCAAATTAATAAGAGAGCCTTTTCAGTTATATGGCAGTCTTTTAAAAGCTGTAGAAAAGAACACGTGTGCCTCAAACTGCCTCACGTACCGCAGCCTGACACTGAACACCTCCAGCGACAGCGTACTAGGCAAGGCCAAAGGATTCCCAGCAGCCAGACGCAGTAACGCCAGCTGTAATCAATTTAGGAGTAAATCCAGCTATCTCTGGGAGGCAGCAGCAGCCCTGGAAGGGAGCCCAGCTGCGCTGGTAACTCAGCTGGATGGAGCAACTGCAGGGCTGGCCCAGTGCAAACCAGCCTGGCGGGAGACAAAAAACCCTGAAGAGAGGGGTGCGAGAGGAAAGGGCAGCTCAGAATCTGAACCAAAGTCTTACTGAAGTCTAGTTTTTCTGAATGAAAGACTACTTTTTGCTAGTGAAACAGTGTTGTTACCACACACGAGCAGTGAACTGTCCAGAAACACCCACAACAGACAATGTTTCTGATGATATTTTTAGATTTTTTCCCATGTGGAAATAAGGCTTATGTGATTATGCTGTATAAACATGCCTGTTCAGCCTGGTTAACAACTTTTGAACCCAAATCTGACCATGGCATAGAAAGTTAAGGGTAAAGAATCCCTACAACCATCAAGAAAATACACACAAGTAGTGTGAGTGAGGAAAGTTACTGGTCTCCCACAGGGAAAGACAGCCTTATTAGGCTCATTTACACTAGACGTCAGAATATCTGCATAGAAAATTGTTCTAGGGAGAAAAATCTATAGGGTTGATTGGGTCACTTGTTTATAAATGCTCTAGTCAGTCATTGGAACGATGATTTTCAGATTTATATTGTATGAAATTTAAAGAAGAGCTGGGACACTCCCTGAATGTCAGAGTACAGGAGGAAATTCTCCATGGGCTCTATAAATATCCAGTCAGACAGTAATCTCCCTGCCTCTCTTCACAGATTTCCACTGCATGCCTTGGCTATATGCTCCTAAGCAGCTTACGAGCTTTCCTTGACCTCCGCTTCTTTTCTTAATGCTGATCTGACCATGGCTGTCCTCAAAGTAAAATTCACCAAAACCAAGAGGGACAAATTGGCTCAGATCCTCTGGATCCTTAACTGGATTTCTGTGGTGAGCGGGATCGTTCTCTTCAGCCTTGGCCTCTTTCTGAAAATAGAAATCAAGAAACGCAACGAAGTGATGGCAAAAGGGGACATTAACTCTGTCCCCAACATGCTGATTTCCGTGGGGGTCATAGCCTGTATCATCAACTTCCTGGGCGGCAAAATCTGCTACGACTGCTCAGACGCCAACAAGTTCTCTCGCTGGAAACTAGTCATGCTCCCATACATCGTATGCACCTTGTGTTTTACCTTCTGCATCCTGGTGGGCGCCCTCATGTGCTATGCCATGAGGAATGAGCTGGAAGAGTCTCTCTACCTGGGCCTGAGGGATGCCATTAAGTACTACAAGGACACGGACATTCCTGGGCGGTGTTTTTTAAAGAGAACGGTGGACCTGTTGCAAATTGGATTCCAGTGCTGTGGAAACAGCGGCTTTAGAGACTGGTTTGAAGTCCAGTGGGTGTCTCCTCGCTATCTGAACATGGCTTCCAAAGACGTTGTGGAGTAAGTAGTTACTAGGCACAGGGAAAACCCTATGGAAAGAAAAGATGTCCTGTTATTCTTAGTTTTAACTGAGAATGTTTCAGATTGGTTCTTAATAGATATATTTCACTACTACATCATGCAAAAGAAGTTTGGCAGTTTCTCTTAATATACAATCATGGGACAGGAAGAGAATAGACAGGTGGGAGTTAGGATTGCACCTCTTTTGATGAAGACCTTAAGAAAACAGATAATCAGCAGTGGTGCAATAATTGATTTAGGAAGATCAGATTCCCAAAAACCATTCATGGTTTCCACTTCCACAATTGACTCAACTAAGGCGAATCTTTTCACAGAGCCTTCCAAGAAATCTTAGGCTCAAAGCATGAAAGTGATAAATGATCACATTCAACTATTACAAAATCACATGCTATTAAGTTTCAACACACAGTTAAATAACAAAAGCCAGAATGGCAGCTCCCAAAGCTGCGGCTTCACTGAACTCGACAATAAATAAATAAAAATCAGTGATGTTAAAGCCAGATGAAGCGAGGCCAAAGTTCTTAGTTTCACAAAACTTGCAATTTGAAACTGCCATTATTGCACAGCCCAGCAGAGCTGCAAATGTAGCAGAGGGCAGGACCTCGGAGAACATGGAGCAGAGCCTTCCTAGGTCTGTCAGCTCCCCCAGTAAAGCAGGATTCATAACAAGTCTCCTGGAAAGGGAAGCTGGACAGCAGAAATGACACAAAGCAGATCAACTTCAGGAGTGTTTTAAATTCGATTTCTGCTCTGAAAAGTGACACAGGAATGCAGATTGTCCACAAGAACATACAGCAATATCTTGTTCTAAGGGGAAAAGTAAAATAAACTGCATTATATTTCTGTGAGTCATATAGAAACAGTAATGTTTTCCCCTGTGTGGTAACAAAAAATCTTATTTTAATCTGCTGGGCAACACTGCCATTATTTTGAGATGTACTGCCTGTTATTTTTTTCTCATGCAGACACGGGATGTTGGTCATCAATGTGTGGGAGGGAAGTGACTAAAGTGCAGAACTTGCTTTATAATGTGTGAACCAGGATAATCTCATCTTGGCTGCTAATGTCAAAGTTGGTGCTGTATAAGCAGATTATATTATTGCCAAATCTGGTGGTGAAACATTAGGTAGGAAACCATTAGGCCCGTAGTGCAGCTTGCTCAGAAAGCTCATGTGGGATGGAGATGGGGCCAAGTAGATTTCTTGGCTTCATATTCTAGTGCATCAATTAAGAGCAGAGCAGCTGAGAACCCACATCTCAAATGAGGTCTCTGCAAAACTGAACTTTCCACCTTTCCTCATAATCCAACCTCTCCCCTCTTCCCTACATCTCCACTGCTGACACCACCACGGGCCAACATGCGAGTCAAGCAAAGGGAAAGGAAGATAGTCATAGGAGTCTAGGGCTACAACCTGCCCTGCTTTGGTTAGTTACAGATCATCTTTTCAGAGTCTCGAAAGCTGGTTTTGTTTTACAATGTTCTGAACACTTTGAATTATGGCAAGTGTCGCTCCCTCAAGTTGCCCTTACCAACATCTTTCCAGCTTCCCTTCTAACAATACCAAGTTACAATAACGTTTGGCTTGCCACAGATGCAGGTGGTACTATGTCAAGGGGGAAACAAGCAGAGTCTGGAAACTGCTGTTGTGGGTAGTAGGAACAAAAGTTTCACAAGAATGTGTTTTAACCCTTCTGGATGCTGCACTCTTTTTGGGTCATGCCACTGAAATACGCTGGTCTTTTTATTGGCCAGGTAAAAAATTCCCTTTTGCCATCTTCCTTCTTCCCTTGCTCCCTCTGACGGTTTTCTTGTTTTGTTTAGAAACAGGAGTTCAGCACAAGGACCCAGTAGTTGAAGCAGGTGATACCAAGAAAAGGAAAGTCAAAGCATTGAAAAGATATTTTTCAGTGCACAGATATCTAAAGGACACCTTGCTCTCTTGCACAACATTTTGCACATACAATAACAAGAACCACACGAGACACTCCACTGCTACCATACCTATGAAATACTCCAGCTGTCCTGCAGCGAGCAGCACCTCCCCTCAGACACGTATTGCATTCCCCTTTGCAACGCTGGGGCGGCCTGCCTTGCAGCAGACATTTGACACAGGCTTTTATTAAAAAGCATGGACGTTCGCTGCTGCTGCCACATTTATAATGTCCTCGCTTTCTGTCTTTGTGCAGCCGCCTGAAGAGCAACGTTGACGGGAAGTTCCTGGTGGACGGAGTGCCCTTCAGCTGCTGCAACCCCAGCTCCCCACGGCCCTGCATCCAGTACCAGCTTACGAACAACAGCGCTCACTACAACTACGATTTCCTCACCGAGGAGCTCAATATCTGGGTGAAGGGCTGCAGAGAGGCCCTGCTGGATTACTACACAGCCATCATGCGCTCCATCGGAATCACGGCTTTGCTCATCTGGATGTTTGAGGTAAGGAAAACAACTGTGGGACAGCGTGCAGGAAATACCAAGGTGTATACACACCGTAGTACAAGCCACTGCACAAAAAACTCAAAGATTGTCTCAGGGCTTGCTTAGTACAGACAGTGTTCTCAAAGCTGCCAGAGCAGATGCAAATCTCATTGAAGAGGATATTTATTAGAAATTACGTATATTAATTCAGTGTACTTACAGAGCTTTTTCAATAGACTATGGTGTATTCTTTGCCTTGGAGCACTTGCAGGATCAGACACAGGATGATACATGCAGTGACATAACTGCAAGAAAATAAGGTAAGAAGGTGTGAGGATTGTTTTAAGCTGATTTTAATAAAGAATATCAGAATGGTGAGGCAAAGCTTTGGCTGAATACATTCATTTTATTGATTGTAAAAATTGAATGTAAACATTAACATCTCAAGCCTTTAGACATGTAGGCTTACCATACCAACAGTACTTTCAAGAACAGAATATGGTTTTAGGTATAGATTAGATTGCTTATTACACAGTCAAAATAAGCATATCCCAGGCAGGGATGGTGCCTAAGGATGCTTCTTTCCTTGAGTCTGTAAAGAAAGCTGCCTGGGTAACTTGATCTACATGTAAAGGACTGCAATAGCACGCACTAAAACGTAGTTTTTGTTAATAATTGTTTTGATTTTCTGCATATTACTCTATTGCATAAATATTAAACTCCATAATTTGCCATGAGAGTCCTCATGCAGTGTTACACAGGCAGTGTAAGCAATCACCAGGAGCAATCGGCCTTGGCAGCTCTGTGAGAAAGTCCCGAGGCTGCTTCCTCAGCCTCTGCTTCCTTAAGTGTCAATAAGGAGGGTGACCTGATCTAGATCCCTGAAGAACTACGGAATTGGGGGCTTTTTCCCAAGCTTAGACTTGTACCTTCCTCTTTCCTCTTTGTGCCTAGGTACACAGGACACAGGTAATCTAGTTCTGATGTAATCAGGGTCAGTTGAAAAATGCTGTGCAAGTTAACAGACTAGGATGTTTTTACTCAGTGGTTGGTGTTTTCATTAATTAATTATCAATTCTGCATCAAGTAGATGCAAGCCTCTGATGCTGCAATGTTCCCTAGGAATTCTATATATTTATGCTGTAATGACACACAAACAGGAATGTTACCTGAGGACTGGAGAGAGAATCAATCTCTGTGGTGCTTTTCTTTATAGAAATCTAACTTATCAGGATGTTGCTAAGATGAAGAATTTGTCTCTTCTATTATAAGAATTTGTCTCAATATGATTAGGTCTGTCAACAATGAAGTCAGAAAGCTGATTTAGTAATAGGACTGAGGCTGCAATTTAAATTCTGTTTAACCACTAACCTTTTCTTACAGCTCTCTGTACTTATTGGGGTCCGGTACCTACAAACAGCGATGAAGAATGTCCTTCTGCTGGGGGATTTGGAGGGCGAATCAGATGGCTGGTTGCTAGAAAACAGCTTTGTGGAAACTGCCAAACGCAACATCAATATCATTAAGAACTTTGGCAAAGTCAGCCAGATCTCCACCGTCTCAGGCATGAGCGACCCCACCACTGATGTTGCAAACACAAACTGTGGCAAAAACGATGTTACAAAAAAATCTATCCCTGCAGCTAGCTAGATGTGACATCATATTTTTGGAGACTTAAATTTAGCTTTTACACATTACAGTCTTAAAGTTACCAGATTCTCCACTGCTGGGGGGAGCCTAGGGAAAAAAATAAGACAATTGAACAAACTATAGACTGGTGACAACTCACTGTTCTTCCCCCAAATAATTTTACTAGCTCCTTCATGCCTTTACTTCCTTATAGACCATAGACATATGTATATGTGTATGCACACACACACACAGATGTATATTATCTCTTATCTTTCTTAAACCTTTACTAAACTCCATATTCATCAGCATTTTTTGTTCTGAAGACTCTTGTGCTTCCATTTTTGTGATCCTTACCAAATCACAGAGTTGTTGAGGTTGGATCTGGAGATCACCTAATCCACCCCCTTGCTCAAAGCAGTCAGCCACAGCGGGTTCCTCAGCACTGCATCCAGGCTGATTCTGAGCATTTCCAGAGATGGAAGCTCCACCACTGCTCCTGGCAGCACTTTATCTTCATTCTGCGTTTGCTTTGCTCATCAATCACAAACTATCAAAGCTTTGAAATGAGACTAGGACTCAAGATACCTGAGATGTGCTCCAAAAAGCTTTGAAATGAGACTGGGACTCAAGACACCTGAGATGTGCTCCAGGTTAACTCACCTTCTGCTTGTCATGGTCAGCTCTCGTGACTAAAGCTCCAATGAGGCAAAATGTCCCAGGTCTGCCACTTCTTGCTCCTGCCTGCATGAGCCTAAACCAAAGATAAAACCTACTGTGCTGCGGTTAACACTCACTTCTGTCCTCCTCTTTCTACCTGCAATATAATGCACATAAAATTTATTTATGTCTAAAAAAAATAAAATTCTCCCTTTCAAGGGAAGATAAAAGTGGAAGTGCAACTTGAAAAAGCAGATGTCCTCACAGCTGGCAGGGATTTCAACTCCAGGTAGACTGGATGCACACAAATAGTACTTTCAGTTGCTTAGACCACAGGGAACACATGGGTTCTGTTCTGATTATAACCCTTTCCTTATTATTTCTTTCTTCTTCTCAGTGCTTAACATCCAGAATGGAAGTTAAACAGCCAGAATGAGTCTTGCAGTGTGCCCGCACTATTTATATGCGCATACAAACATAGTGCTCATGGTTAATTTATAACTGTTATTGCTTAGCAGATTCAAATAGAATATTTTTGGAATATGAGGGCAGTCACTGTGCAAGTTTTTACACAGTGAACATTAGGTAGGAACCCCTGGGAGACATTGCAGCCCTATTGCATATCCACTTACATATGCTCCAAGTTGCTGTTCCTGCCATCTGCTTCCGCTGTTCTGCAAATGCATGTACTAAAGAGACACCACCACTGTTTCATACATGTCTTCCTAAAGGTGAGTACTTACAATTTGCACTTGAGGATTCAGGAGCTTTCCCAGACAGATTTGTTGGCTTATTCTGGTTAGGAAGATGGTAGCCCGTTTTATTTATTTCTGTCTGTGATTTCTACCAGAAATTTTAAGTAATTAAAAAAAAAAAAAAGCAATCATAATCACCTGAAGCAACTTGATTTTATAAACATCATCCCATTCTCAAGTTAAAAGTTATTCCCATGTCATTTTTGTAGCTTCCTGGTAATGAAGACAGGCACCATGCTCTTGTCATTGGTAACACTTGCGTGTCGCAGTTGATAGCCGTGGCATTTATCAGGTTAAATGCAGCTCTTCCTCTGCGCTCTGCAGTTAGACTTACCTAATTTGGTGAAAGAATAACTTAAATCCCCCAAGCTAAACAGCACGCACTAAAGCTACAGCAGAGGTGCTGCGAGGGTCTGCAGCAAGTACTTTGCAGCCCGTGTGTGCACATGCAGGAATTTGCACCGTCACCACCCAGGCCAGGGCAGCAGGAGCTGCCAGGCCGTGTGGGGCCTTCCCGCTCTGCTGCCAGCCTCGCTTCCCACCCCGCTCTCCGATGGGTTTTCCGGATGCTGGCCCCATTAGCAAACATTTCCCCCAACTTTTCAGGTTTTTGGCTCAGTTCCTCAGCCAAATGGGGTGTAATCCTTCCCCTGTCCAACAACTTCATCAGCAGTTGTATTTTCTTTCTCTTTGCTGCTTATCCTCCTCCCACCAGGTATTCCAATTCTGATTAGCTGAGATCTCTTTCACAAGATCAGCGGTGTAAGTCTATGCTGAAAAATAGATGTGAGGAGTGTGACCTAAAGCAAGCATCCACGCTGAACGTCTCGGTGACAGATCCAGAAACTTTGGCAGCAGCCCCTGTAGCACATTTGTGTGAGGACCAGCAGCACAAGTGTCCCGTGTGCTAAATATGCACCCACATTCTTCATATGAAGACAACCCATTGACAATAGCTAATATTAGATAAATGTACCTTTACCTTCCGAACAAATGCTGTTTCATACACAGCAGTTACAGACACCCTCAATACAGACCTATTATTGAAGTATAACACCTCATTTTACCTCATGTATTCATGAGAGCAAATACCATCTATGTAAGAAGCTTAAAGCCTGAGCAATACACTGACTGATGAAACATTTTCACTACAAGTTTTCTTACTTGCTTTGCCTTATTACTTTCCTCAGATGGTGAAATCGCACTCTCCATACCTGGCTTAATAGCACCTGGCCCAGTTGCTTGGATTTCCTGGCATATTTAATGTTACAGCCACCACATCAAGGAAGCAAGAGCAGGCAGCAGCACAGACCGTCGTTAATGCTCCATAATTTATAAAGACAAGGATGGCATTAGCAAGCCAAGCCTATAAGCTGCAGCATCTGCTCAGATACAGAAATAAATGCGCTTTGTAGGCACGTCTTATCCTATTTGTAATTAATGCCTAATCCAGCCTGAATTAATAATAATTCATTTGTGCAATGAACTTCAACTTAAAAACAGAACTTACCTCTGTAAGAAACAAAAGGAAAATACCTTTCTAGGAAAGTTTTTTTTTTTTTTTTTTTAATAAAATAGAAGAGTTTTAGTGTTCAGCTTTTGGTGAAGGGACTATGGCAGTTCCTGTCAAAGCTCCAATTCTGATGCTTGTCCTTTAAAGCTGATTACTGCTGACAATACTTGGTGTACATAGATCATAAAAATTAATATAAGGTAAATACCACAGTTTGGTTAAAAGTATTCAGTGATTAATTCAGGTTTAGTTCATTGTGCATGTAGAAAAAAATATATTTAAAACCGAGATTTTTTTTTCCAAGGACATGGTCTAGAAAATTAAGTGGATTTCAAAAATTCAAACTGCTTTGATTTCACACATTTTACCTTGAGAGTCTTGCTACTGTACAAATGTCATAGCTTTTTTCCTTCCCCTCTAAATTTAATGTTAATATTCTTAAGAACATATTTGATGGTAGGTTTCCATCTACCTACCTTTACCCTCTACCTTTTCAATACTAAAAAAAAAAAAGACTTGTAAAACGCACCTCCAAGGAAAGCTGTGTAATCTCTGAGAAGTTACTTTATTTCTCTTTTAAATATACATATACAAGATATTTTATTTCAAAAGCACAAGAACATTATACAAGTTTCAAATTTACATTTTTGCAATTAAAGATACCAATATGTGCATTATCAAATAACTTCTCTGTCAGCTTGGATGGAACAGAAATCAGTGGCATAAGCATCTCGCGATCACTAAACGCAGATTATACTCTCAGTGAACAAAACTGCATGGTAATTTATGAAAAGAAAAATTACTAGTCAGTGGATGATATGGGAGCCCGTTTTCTCAATTAGTATGTGCAAACGTACAGAAAGATGCACGTTTCCCCCTTCTTCTCTCACTTCTTCAGCTACAAAAGGATCTCTAGAGCTTTGAACAAAAGCTCATCTGCTCAGACCAGCTCCTGTCTTTGTATCATATAGATCAGACCAAACACAAAATAAAGTGATCTTGATGCATACTTGATAATGAAACTTTTGCATCTGTGAAGTGCAAGGTAGGTGGAAGTTTTTGATAAATGAATAGTTAAACTTCAGAGGGAAACAGTAAGTGAAGAGAGCTGGGGTACAAATGAGGCGGAGGTTTGTTAGCCTGAATACAGTGTCTTTGTCAATAAGAGGTGATGACCTTCGAAACCTCCATTGCCTGCATGTTTATGAACAAGTTTTTTCTAGATTCATTGTTTCAAATGCATTTTAGATAATATTAAGAGAATTAATCTTTTAAGAGTTTTATATTCATGTTTAAAAATCTCAAAGAATCAAAATAGGGAGAGATGTCTTATTTGCAAGAAAAGAGCAGAAAAAAATACAACAATGGTAACTATTTATATTGCCAAAGAAGGAGTAGAGCAAAAATTGTAAGAGTATTTTAAACCCAAGCAACACTTGAGTCTACTCCTTTTTAATTAAATTACATCTGTTGTTCAGCACATTCATATGTGCTCTAAAGATATTAAGAAAGTAGAAGAATAGCTACTGCATTTAAACCAAAAATCATTATTTGAAATAACAACAGCCATGAGATTTTACTCATACAGCCCGTAGGGAAAGGGGAAAAAAATTCATCATTCACAAACGTATTCTCAGACAGTAACTCATTAAATTCTTCCAAAAATCTCCTCTTGCAAATTCTATTAAAATGACACAAAAATCCAATGGCAGGGAAGTTCAGAATACTGCTAATGACATCAGACTTGTACACAGAAATGGGTTTTCCTCAATAAGTGTTTTTGCCTGTCACATTACAGCTCCCTAGTGTATTTATGGCTGAAGATCAGAAAACAGAGCAGCAAAACATAGAACTGAAGTGCAGTCACCTGCCAGTAAAGGAGAGCTCGATCACGACGTGCTACAGACTACCGCGGGGCAGAGGTGACCTCGGCCACGTCCCGCCCTGCTGCCACCTCCCTCTGCGCTACCTGGCCCTGAACCACCGGCCGCTACCCCCAGAGCGCAGGCAGCGCTCGAAACAATCATCACACAGGGTGAAGAGCGGAAAGGCCCTTAAACACGGGCACACGAGCTTATTTCTAAAATAATAATAATATTCTAGAAGCTGCTATTTTGGGGCCTTGATTTTAGTCCAGTGACGGCTTTGAAAGATCTCTGGTTTCACTGAAGTCCCTGGGTCTTGCAGAACTTGCAGAGCGACACTAAAAGCACGTGCCAGTATTTTCGTGTTCGGCTGTCACAGGGGAGAAACTGTAGCAGTAAAACTAACCACAACCTAACCAAACAGTTCTAGATCTTTTAGGACACAGAACGTTAACAGAGGACAAATTAATCAGATAAAGTGCATTTCTGGCAATGCAACAAGCACAGACTTTATTTTTTGCTGCAGCAAGCAAGATGACAGTTTCCCCATGCACTTCTTCCCCCCGCTTCCTTAAAGGGTTTATGCTAATGAAAACACTTCATTAAATGCTAGGATATAGCAGAGTGCAGTCTTTTTATGCACAACTTAAACATCTGCTGCAACTGTTGCTACAGATTGTTACAGACCTGACACCACTTCCACTTCAGTTTTATGCCACAAAATGCAACCAGATTAGGTTGAGGCCTGGGAAAACCATCCAGAAAGTGAAGGACGCTTTTTTTGATGTTTTTTTTTAGTCATATTGTTTCAGTATATTCTCAAGGCAAGGAAGCAAGAGAAATTTGGCATTTGCAGTGAAGGGCAGGATTTGGGAAGCTGTCCTCTTCAAAGCATGTGAAACAATTACAACACCTCAAAAAAAAACCCCAGAAACACTTCTGGAACTGAATGTGCGATCAGAATTACATGGGGTCTCCTTTTTTGGGGGGGGTGAGTGGGAGTGTGGGAGGGAGAGAGAAGCAAGACATTCGAAATGAGATTCTGCTTCAATACATCAGTAAAACATCCAAGCTAGAGAAAGTGTCAGTCATGTGACAGAGCTACAGAATCCACTTTACAGTAAGTTATTTACTGCCACCTTCTTTCCTTCTCCAAAGCACTGTCCACGGCACGAGGCCTCCGCCGGCGCGGGGGCTCAGAGCAGCTGCCAGTTGAATCCAAAGAAGATCTGGTTGGTTTCCTGGCTCCTGGCGATCTCCTCGACGATGCAGTGCTGCTGCCAGAGCAGGTGCAGCTTGCGGTACCGCTCCCGGCACAAGTGCAGGGGATTGCCTCGTCTCCGCAAGGGAAAGGGAGAGCGCTCAGCAAGCGCCGCACACCATCAGCTGCCCCCCGCTGCCCTCTCTTTTCCCACCTCCTTCCCCCTGGAATCTCCACCCGCGTCAGATGTGGATCTTTTTTTTAGACAAACTATTCTATTAGCGGTATAACATTAATGCTCTTGGAAATAGCCAGGAAATATTAAAAATAACTGTGTAACTAGCAACTACAATGAGTCTATTAAAAAAAGAAACATTAAGTCTACAAAGTTCTCAGAAATGACAGTCATCTTCTGTCATTTTGGTAGTGGCAGTTGTACATTTCTGATGAAAAGTACACACAAGCGCTCTTATGAAAAGAAAGGGACTTTAGGAGAGTCAAAAAAGGGGATTTTTTGACCCCTTCATGACTGAAGAATTGCCACCAGGAATTTAAACAAGCCCACGAGGTAAAGATACACACTGCAGGACTGAATACTCTAGCAGGGACCACATACTGTCTAATGGCTATATTATATATTATTATATATGATAATATATATTACACATAATATAATAATATTTTATATTATATATAAAACATGTATAATATGTATTATATATTATATATAATATATATAGTGTATAATGGCTATAAATGGCTATAAGAAAAAACAAGGGTCAAAATGGAAATGTAGGAAGGAAAGAACTTGCACATATACTTACTTCAAACCTGGATCGGTTTCTCCATATTTATCCAAGTAGGGAGCAGGATACAAGCATCCCCTGGTTTTACCCTCTATGAGGACAACTTTGCATTCCCTGATTCTATAGGAAAAAATAGATACATTTAAAATAGATATCACCATCTTCACCATCACCATGAACATAAAATATTTTTCCATAAGCCACAACTTTCTGTAAATCCTAGCTTTGCAACGAATTCCCCAGGTACCCCCAAGGTAGATGGAGACAACTGATTTACCTCTCCCCCAAAGCATGAGGCAGCTCCAGCTCCAAATGAAGCACCCTGCGAGTGCAATTTGCATGGGCCACAATTCCAGATGCTCTGGAGACCTTGGATAGTGGCTTCCCTGCTCTACCTGACCACATTTTTCTCGTCACCATCACCTCTGGGATGATCCGGTTGGCCCAGACCTCTTGCTTGGGAAAGGAGCTAAACTCTACTCAGCTCAGATGAGCTGGTGAGCTTTAAATTTTTTATTAAAATACTAATAGAAATACTAGAAAAAAAAATTCTTTCACATTCCTAACAAAAAATATAACCAGTTACTAACAGAGTTACTAATCACATGAGATAATCATTTGATCTCAACAAGCACAGAAGTTAACTTAAAAACTCCAGTGTAGGGGAACGGGACATGTACCATATAACTTATTTGGAAAGTTCCATCCAGAAGCAGAACTGAACAGTTCCAATTAGGTTCAAACTTTTGCTACTCTGCAAACCCTCTACAAAACGTGGCATCAGAAATGATTCTGTGATTCTGCTGACTACAATGCAACATCCATCAAGGACGTAGGCTTTTGGTTGAGCTGTGCTGTGGGTTTTGGCCTTCCAAAGGCTTTGACCTCCTTCCCTTTGCCCATGAGGGTAGTGAGTTTTGGTGTGCTACTTACTTGAGAAACATACAGACCCCAGCTCCACACTGCAGAGCATGGGAAGTACAGGCTCCCAACTCCTCCCCATTCACCAGCTCCTGGCAGCAGGTGTTCTGGGAACACAGCATAGCACCACAGAACAAACACAGCACTGGATGCTTCTGTTCATCATCAGAAGACCGGGGGCACCTGGAAGAAGCATAACCAGAATGTTACTAGTAGAATTAAATATTAAGAGAGATGCTAATCGCATATAAAATTCAAAAGGAGACATATTTTGCTGCAACCATGTTTCACGTATTTGTCTCCTGCAGCTACATTTTTGCTTTAAATAGGTTATCTGCAAGGTGGTGCTGCTCTGAGCAAGAGGCTGCACTGGATGACCTACTGCGGGCCACTCCAATCCGAATTATCCTACAATTTACTCTTCCTAGGGAAAAAAAGTGTGTCAGCCCTTGAGGCTTGCTGTGTCCAGGGGCAAAAACAACCGTCAGCCTTACGACCATATTGCATTGCTAAAAAAAATGCCCAACAAGTTAAGCTATAATAATCTGACAGGATATCTGATCAAGTGACTTCATTTAGCAAGCTGTGGTATTTCACACTTAAACACCTGCTAGTACTGGTCAGTTTAAACATAACAAGGCCTTCACTTGACTGCAAAAATCATTTCTGTGATATAAATTTTGTCTTGTACTAGAGTAACTGCCAGAACACAAAAAGACAAAGCACGTGGCAGGACAACTAGACATACCACATCGTACCTAAACTGAGACGCTTGGTTCAGGAGGCAGCTATAGTCTTCAGGAAGCTCTATTAAGCTATTTCTCTTCCTAGGATACCTATTTAAATAAAGAAAAACTATTAAAGATCACAGAAAAAAAAAAAAAAGAAAAAAAACCCACACAACACACCACAAAGCAACAGCAGCAGCTATAAATCCCTATCTTGCTAAGCTTTTCTGCAAGTTTCTGCAGTTCTAAAACAGATCTTCAGTCCTGTAAGCCCATGCAGGAAGGCACAAAATAAAGTACCTGGAAGCCACTTCAGCATTTCTATATTCCAACAAAGGTAATGGAGTGAGGTTTCATAGGGCTTTTTGTTTGTTTGTTTTCTCCCCCCGCCCCCCGAGTAGGCTACGTAACTTCAGAAACAGAATGTTATCATAGAGCCTGAGTAAGGAGTCGCTGAGGGAGGAGGAGGAGGAAGTAAACTTCTGTTAGTAAAGCAAGAGAAAGAAAAAGTACTGCTAACCTGTCCTTAATTGAACCATCAAAAACTTCATTCTTTCAACAGGTTTAGGTCATGAACAGTGGATAGAGAAACAACAAAAAGCCCATACAACCCACTGACCTTATTGAAATGCTCTTCCCTTTCAAAGAACTGAGGACCACTGGGTCAGCACACCACCTATTGCAAAGAAATATTTGTAGAAGATCGTTTGTTAATAATAGACATTGAGTACAACTAAAATAAAACTAGAAAGCAATAAGCTAACATGGAGCACAGATAATAGGATAGCTAGAACTCAGTGCTTTGTCTACCTTTTTACTTGGGTTTTGAATGGGTAATTTTATCAATTACTTAACTGTTGGTCTGTAATATACATAACATTCCAACTATACCTCTTAACCATTAACGCAACTTTTGCATTAACTACGCTTTTGGAAAACCAAAAAATAAATAGAATAAATAACTTCTATAACAACTGATTCCAAGCAGGTCTGCTAGGCTTAGTTTCCTTAAACTAGTTGTTTAAGGTTTAAATTGCTAAGACACATAAAGTATTCAAAGATTCATTACGCACATAAAACTAGCACTTATACATCTAGCCTGAATTTCATTAGAGCTCAATCATTCAGTCATTAATTTGATCTGTAATTCCTATAGAGCTAACATAAAAATATGGGCTCAGTCTTTTCCTTGCACATACCTCTGTAGCAGTGGATTTACAGTGTCCCAGTATTCCTGGAAAAGCAGGAAAAGATTGGTGGGCAGAGAGAGGTAACTACAAAGTGCCTTGAATTGCCCTTCTTCAGAAACTGCAAAAGAAAAAGAAAACGAGCAACTGTAGAAGTGTTTCAGCACTGCTGAATAATTCACTCAAAACTGGAATTCTCTTGATCCCTTTTCCATTGGAAAAACACACATCTTAGGGCTTGAGTACAGCAGTTCAGCTGGTGCAACTGGAAACAACTATTGGCTTAATCGTAATTGCAACAATTTGCATTAGCTGACAAATTGCTTTAGGTTTAACAGATAAAATAGTATACTATTGAGTAATTTAAAAGTCATTCATAAATGCTTGTAAAATAGATTTTTTTTAAATTACATTTTACTGCAAAATTTGCAGCACATTCACTAGTGCAGCAGATTCTGTTCCCCCCCCTTATCACATTCTAAGTTTTCTAGAAGTCACATAGGCTGACGTTAAGCACAACAATATAGTCCAAAGCACAGGGATATTGACTTGTATATGCTAGTCAGATCCAAACTAGGCTCATACTAATAAATTTAAGACACTATATTTTGTCTCTCTTTTTATAGCAATCATGGTCCTTTTCTTCAAGTTGAAGAAATCAAGTTGATGATTCTGTGTTTTTTGGATATAGGGTAATGATTTTGTTTTTCCTAGGATCTTTCATAAGGAGCTTTAAGTTTTTTTTTTTTAATATATATATATATATATATATATATAGGCGTGTGTGCACATCCCAACCATTCCTACCTCTTCTTATACAAATTATTTCTTCCTTTCTTTCCAAAGTCTGTCTTTAATGTATTAACCAATGTTAAGTTATTGCGAACACTTAAACACTCCTTTCTTCACAAGAAACACTAAACAATTTCAAAATACAGATACTGACACATTCTCATATTTACCTTGTAGTAGCTCCTCAGGTGGAGACACTCCGAGCAAATAATGAAAAAATAAAGCAGCACAACGAAGGTAAGGCATGATGCCTTTTTTAACACAATCCCACACAAGCCAGCCTGGAATATCCTGGCTAAAGCAACTGTAATACACAGATAAGAAACATCTGCAGCAGTTCACAGCACAAATCCTTCTGGGACTTTTACATTTCGGCTAGCACTGGTTGAACAGCAACTGTGAGTAACATCGATGCATTCCAAACTTTGTGAAACACAACTATGAGCACCTAATTTCTAATCTTCCCTTTCCCTAAGGAAAGGGTATTAAGCTTACTTCAAGCACTTGCAGTAAGTCTTCACATTGCCTCAACAAAATTGTTACAATCTGTCGTTAACAATTCAGAATTGTAAATAAATAAATAGCCACCCATCTCCAGATGACTCAAAATAGCCCAATTTTGGCCATGCAATACATCACATTTACATAATTTTCTTTTGATTAGAGAAAGCAAATAAATTCTTCAGTTATTCTTCCAGTGTGTATGTGCTATAAGCTTTTATCCTGGATTTCTTATTATACTTAGGTTTTCTAAAAATTTTAGACACAGTTCCACTTCACATTTAGGTATATGCTTTTTAAACTACTTTTTTTAAACTCATGCATCAGAAAAAACCACTCATTTAAATGTCAGCTTTTAAACATTTCTTCTTCCTTTCTGCTCTTCAGGCCAATCCCAGTGGACTGTGGTAGTTCTAGGAAAGCCAAAGGTGTAGCTGAGCCCCTACTCACCCACTGGTGTACTGGCAAAGCTCCTTGCAGAACGACTGCGCCGCGCGGGCCTCCTCGCTGCTATCGTGGCACTGAGCAGCAGGGGATTCTGTGCACACAAAACACGAACCCCAGCGGGTAAAAGGACTCCATGTAAAGCACTTTTCTTTCAGCTGCATTACAAAAGTGTTTCCACTTTGCTTTGCTGCAATTATTTTTCTAAACTAACAAAAGAACCACTGTGATTATTGCTTCACTGCTCATCCTCACATAATACTACTGTCCTACATGGACAGCTAGGGAAACTCATTTCTTTTTTTCTCTTATTATTAATAAAGAGGAAAATAGTGGCTAGGAGTTAAGTTACTGTCAGATTTGATAGGCAGCAATATAAAATAAAGGGAAGAACAATTTTTTTCCATATCAGTTTAAGGAATTCCATGCTTCAGCTGTAGGTTCAAGGATAAATAAGGTACCTTTTCCAAATCTCTCCTAACTGACTGTGTGCAGCTCTGAGTGCTGCCACTGGGCAGTTCTTTGCTTCCTTGCTTCTGCAAGGAGTGAAGAGTGTAGAAGGCTACTGATATGGAATGACTGACTTGATCAAGTACTGATACATCTATAATTACTTTGTTTTCTTAGTCTAACAGAAGAAATGATACAATAAAAGGCTGTGAAAATGATGTAGTCCCGATTTATTTATTTATTAACCAGAAAACAGTTGCTTCTACCTAAAACTAAATGTCATTTATTATGAAGAAATTCCTACCTATCATTTTCTACTAAAAACATCCATCTACTGGGTTTACAAACTGGGTAAAATTGTCAGAGTAATCCTACTCAAATATATCCCTACCTGTTGCTGAGGAGAGAACAATTTGTGTTATGTGTGCCAGCGTAGTCAGATGGAAGAGGTAGAGCTGGTTATAAGCTGAACTAATTGCTGAAGGTTGCAAGTCTACAGCATCTTCCCAGTATAAAGATGGAAATGATAACACACCTCCCACCTACAGGGAAAGAGTAAACAACAAAGTACTAAAAATTCAGTGCCAGTTAGATGCATATTAATCATTCTAACTTACTTTTTCACTATACATTTAATTTCTCCAATCAATTTCACTTACCCTTCTCATTTCAATTTACAAAGTATTAATTATGTGCATTCCATTACATTCCTTAGACATTTTGTATTTCAATTTACTTGCCACTAAAATAGCCTATTTCCTAGAAAATTTTGCTGCATAGCATAGGATAACAGTCCACTGAATGAAAGCTAGAAGGGAAACCGAACTGCAACTAAAAAGGCAACTAGGACAAACCTGGCTTTGTTTACTTTAAAGGCAGAAGTAAATACTGATCTCTAAGAACAGAAAGTAGTGATCAAAAAGAGGAGAAAAGGAGATGACAAGAGTGAAAATGAAGAAATCTGAAGGTACAAAAGCCAAGGTAATACAAGGAGAATGAGGGAGCTGGGCAAACAGCAGAACTAAAAGTAAATGTATGAGTTCAGCCTCATCACCTGGTTCACGTAAGTGAACAGATACTTCCAGATTATCTACAGGAGAATCTACACAAGAAATGCATGCTATTAAAAAGGAGTACTAAAATTAAAACAAATCTGCTTACCAGAACGTGGAACATATCTACTTCTAAAAGGGAAGGAGTGTCTTCGACTTTAAAGTTTGGTAGAAGAACTACAAAATAAACATGAGACAGTACAACAAACAAAAATTAGTTATACTTTTTCTTCTCTCAGACTTAAGTGCAATGTCAGTTTGATGGCAGAGCCTCTGTCACTTCTGTTTCTTCATCCAAAGCATCTAACCACTCTGAACTGACTAAATATCTAGCTATTTAATTAACTGCTGGTTTGACAGTGCATCTATTTAGCTATTTGCATGTGCTCCAACAGCTTTCAATTTTAATTACTATATCTTTAAAATTTCTGAGATGAAGACCTTTGATGTATTTCTCTAGCTATAATATAAGCCACAACATGAGCGCCACAAATGTCATTAGGTGCTGCACGATGAGATGCTTTGCTGTCTAGCAGGATACTCACACCTGTGAATTCCATCTAACATAGAGTCAAAGAATGAGATTTTCAAAGGCCACCGTGCTCCACTAGCCAGTAAGAGGCAGACACGTGGACAAACATTAGTTTATCGTGACCAGGTGTCAAACCTCTTCTGAGACCTACATATCTTTAATTTGATTGCAAGATATTTTCGAAAAGATCAAAAAATGAATTCTCACAGTTAAGAAAAGGGAAGATTGCCCAGCCGTGGCTCTTAGTGTGGCTTAACCATCCACCTCTTCAGCACTCAGAATCTGAGCAACTCTCAAGACTGTCAGAAATAGATCTTCAGTCATGTGGAAGCATTCCTGATTTGAGTAAGTCTATGCCTTGGCAATAGGTGATAAAGTACTTATGTTGACCTAGCTTAGAATATACTCTAGGATGCAAGGGAACTGACCTTTATGCAATACGAAAGAAAATAAAGAAAAAATACAATACCTCCCAGAAGACGAACCAGATGTTTCTGAATCAGGACCTGGGGTGATGTTGTTCTCTGAGCAGCTGCAAACTGCACTAATGCTTTAAGGCCACTGTGCTAGAGAGCAAGAGAAGATGATTGGACAGAAGAAAGGGCAAGATATAACAGTGAAATAAAGTTGTCAATATATCCCCACCTCTCCTAAGAGCAGGATACACATAGATAAATGAATTAAAAAGAAAGTCCATGCATAAGCATACATTCACTTTCCTGAATGCTCTATGTTATCAATCTAAACTAAATATTTTCAAAGACTTTCCTAAGGATAAGATACTCTTAAAGTCAGCAGTTTCAACAGTGTCTGTGCACAAACATATACCCCCACACACATATTTATATATCAATGTAAAGTATATATACATATTTGAAGTATTGCATAGATGATTGCCCATACCTGTCTATTTTGTAGAGATCCAAATAGCGGCTTGGCCTCTGTTTCCAAGAGGTTTTCTTAAAATTAAACAAAGAACAATTAACTTGATGATCACATCTTGATTTTGTACATTACACTCAGAGTCGGCATTCCAAATATTAGTCATGTTTTTTATAAACATCTTTTTATAGGAGTAGATATAATAACATTATTACATACTGTATTTCACGTATATGATAGCATTATTCACTATGAGAATAGGTTTGATTATGGCTTATTTCAAAAATTAAGTTTTGAGTCATGAGTAAACCAAAATTATGTTTTACCTATGCACTGGATGGTAAAAGCACACGTGCTCCAAGTCATCATAGGAATCCGATAGTCATCTTCATTTGGAGCAACTTTTAGTCCAACTCTATAAATGGTGGTGGCAAAAAGAACTAGCATCTCCTTGATACTGCTCGAGTACTTTGCTCTGCAAATATAAACCAAGATAATTACACCTTGTGAATAATTAATAGTGCTTATTAATATTACGATATTGCTTACTCTTACTATATTACTATACTGGAGAAGGCAGATCATGAAAGTCACCAGGCTGGAACCCAATTGGGAGAATGAAGAAGTTTACTTCTGGGCTGTACATTGTATTTCAAATTCAAAAAACACCTACAGTTTAAATCCAAGTAAAATGTGGGGGGAAACTAGTGCTGTCAATAAGGAAGTGCATTTTTAAGTGCTGCAGGGAAAACATGTTCCCTCTCTCCCATCTCCTTAGACACAAAAATGCAAAGCAGGAAATTTCAAAAGTATTTCAAAAATAAACTTAAATAGCATTTAAGTTCCTTTAAGCTGGTATTAGGTTAGTTTATATATATGCACTTTTAATGGGAAAAGTGCCTAGTCAAAGACACACACAGCATTATTTAATGGCCTAGGGTTTTTGTTTGTTTGTTTCATTGGTTGGTTTTGTTTTTTAATCATACATTGGCAACTAGATAACAGAGATTAATGAAATTCACATCCATTCTCTGAATCTCTGTAGCCAAAGTTCTGTTTTTATGACAGGCTCATACTGAAACCCAGGAGCACTTAAGTGCAAACCATAGAATCTTTTTCCCGAGGATAAGTTATTATGACAGAACTTAATCCAACTTTTTGACATTTTCTTTTACAACAGCATCATGTATAAATACTGTGTGTATCTATGACAGTCAGAAGTAATAGTAGCAATAATAGATGAAGTACTTATAGCTAGACCTCGGATGAAGAAAATCGTCCACTTGAGGCCTATGTATGCATTTACTCCATCTTAATAACAGAGTTTCTGCTTATCTGAACAGGAAAAGTCAATACAGTCCCACAGCTCTGAGCAGTCTATGTTAAAAATGTATCTAAAAACACGTGAAAACTATCTCTGAATCTACAAATAGTCGGAAAACTTAGAATAGTCGGAAAACTTAGACAGATGGAAGTCAATGACTCATCCAAGAGCAAACGAAATGATCTGAAAAAAAGGACTGACAGATTAGAAGATTTTAGTCTCCCAGTTTTGCACCAAGAACAGAAGAAGTGCCATACTGGATTACAGCAAATTATTTCAAGGAAGAGTTAACATAATTTAAGAAAGCATTTCTGGTGACACTTACGAGGACTGAACTCCAAAACTAAGGATGGAATGGAATTCCAGAGCAGAGTTCCCCATTCCTTTGTTGATGAAAGCCGGAGCACTTTGTTTCTCTCCTTCCAGAGAAAGGAAACAGAAATACATTAACACAAAGAAGTTGCAGTACTTTGTACTTTTCACAGCAGTGTAATAGAAGAGAGACTTTAAGCTGATTTGTAAGTATTTGTAAAACAGCCCTCACCAGCTAGACTGTTTTATAATCATCCTCACCAAGTCACATTTTCTTCTATTGTCAGAAACACGAGAATTACAAGTAGTGCTTGGCTGGGGAGGAATATATGGCATAAACAGCAAAAAGCATTCCTGTGCCTTAAGTCTGCAACCAATACGATGATTTTCAGTAATGCTGCTTGGTTATGTTTTCTAAAATATTCATGTGTATTTCTTTTGGCTCTTTTAACCTGCTCCTTTATCACATAACACTCAACATAAAAGCCTCATTAACTCTGGCTGGTTAGTTGGCTGCTGTCTTCTCCCACTGCACATAACTGTCTCCAGCAGAAAAGTGGCCAGAGACCTGAAAATATGAGAGGGTGCCATGAAAGCAAGACATTAGCTAAGAAAAGGCCATGACTATCCCTGAAAAGTGGCACATTTTCCTGGCTGTCTTAATAGAATATAGACTACACCCTTTATTTGAAATTTTCTATTGATATTAGTTGAAAAACATATTAGAGATGACACAGAAAAGCTCCACAACAAAGAGGACAAACCTTTAGCGTTTTTCACACTGTAGCCAGATATTCTAGCTGTAACAATCTCCAGCCACCTAGCCAGGGACAGGATTTGAGCTACTGCCTCTGCGTCCTCACTGGGAACAGAAATGAAAAGCAGCTGTTAACAGTTAAAGCACCACCTTATGTTACAAACACAGGACAACATTTATGAAAACACTTATTAAAACTCAATATTGGCATAGTTTTGTAAGCTTTAGGCTTTGTGTGAAAAGTACAAATTGAAACATTACACTAAGAACTCAAAGCACTTTTTCTGTAATGCATTTCCAGACCATCTTTCAGAGTACATATGTCAAAGGAGAAAGAACTTTGGTGACCAAAATAAATGCATTTGTGTGAAGAGTCAACAAGGATATAAGCAGTCAAGCTACGAAAGTCAGCTCAAAATCCCCTTTAAACAAAAGCCGACTACCCTCTTCAAAGCCCCAATAGTTTAAGACTCAGCAATCCTGGTAGTTCACCTGTTTATTTTTTGAGCTTGTAATGGAACAATAGGGATAACAGTATTGCACAGAGACTTGCAGAGCGGACAAAGGTACTCTCCATTCTCCAAGTCAAATATCTGTTCAACGTGCAGACGCTGTCGGAAGTTCAGCTGCATGGCTTCAAAATACCTACAACATTGAAAAAGACATCGCCAGTAAGCAGAATGGCTCAAAACTGACATGAAAACAAGTCTTCAAGTAATTAAAAGCATTATCATCTGAAAGTACCTATCCAAACAGATCTCTTTCCCTCTATTTGATTTACCATTATTTCATGTGATGGAACATAAAAAACAATTAAAGTTTTGAGCACATACATGAACTCTTCATACTGTATGAAGTGGTACTTCATACATGGTAAAAATATATGAAGTACCACTTATGCAAAAAATGAGGGCAAGTTTTCCTTGTTTTTTATATCTTTTTCATGTATTTTATTAACATGTTGGCACTGAAACAACCCTAAGTTCTCCAGTATTCTCATGTATCCAATATCTCTCACATACAACTCATCGCAGTGAATTTGAACAGAATATAATATACATTTTTTATTTACTTTTAGGAAAACCTAGTGGTAATAGTTCACTCACTCAAGCTATTTTACACTCAAAAAGAACTTGAGTAACCATGATCTTTTCATAGGTTTCATCATAATTCTTCCCTCTCCCTGGAGGGGGTAGGTCTTCAGATTTCATTAATATCTCAGTGTCAGACACTATTAGAAACAAGAAGACCTAACAATTAAATCAGCTTGTCTGAAGAGAAGTAACTAAATTCTGTAATAGTTTTCAAACTCATTATGTAGAAACTTAATGACAGATTTGACAGTTCCCTGGCACAAGTAATAATTATCCATTATTTTGGTTTAAACTACAATATTTAAGTAGAAAAATAAAATACCATTTATCTGATAAGAGAAAGTGGGGAAATAAAAAGAAAACCTTATAATTACAGACTACTTCTGAAAGTATTCTAAGTAACCCAAAACATACAATTATTTTCCCAAATTCACTAAGCAAAACTATATTGTTGCAACTCCTTCTCCTCATACATGGTAACTACACAAATATTTCATTCATTCTGAACTTTTACTGTCTTAGGCAGTTCAGAGTTTTGCAGTATTTTTATGATGCAGGTACTCAGAAAAAAAATACGACAGGCATCATTTGGAGGAATATTAGTAAGTTAGAATGGCTGTTATGTAATAAATAAAAGACTATGCTCAAACCTTCTGTGTCATCCCGTATGAGAAGAGCCTGTTGTCCATTTTAATCCCATTTACCCACACAGCAAGCCATCTTTTCTTAAAAAGGGCAAGGGAACTGAGCTCCAGTGCTGCACTACTTAGATCTACGTAGATGTAGATGGATCTGCCAAGAGCAGATGTATTATACTCAAGGAACATATTTCCATTAGCATTAAGTGTGTGCACCTATTTATTTTGTATTGGTGTTTTACTGTAAGGATACACATATAGAAAGTAAATGACAACCACTGGAAGATTCATTAGGCTTTCTGGAGTGAAATGACACAAGCATAGATCATAAGCCTCAAGAGACTGTCTGTATTATTCAACAACACAGAGTTGCTTGTAATTGCATGACCCAACTCTCTATTTCCTAATAATAGAGTGAGATTAGCTTTCTATCATTATTTCACACCTATCTCATTTAGACTTGCCAGATCTAAGCAGAGTCAGAGGCAGACAGCATTGGCCTTGCTCCCTGTAATCCTACAAATACAGCTGAGGGGAACCAGGATGCCTATATTCTGCAAGATAAGTAACTGGGCTTAATATTTCAGGTGGTATTTTAGTTCAAAACACTTGGTCTAAACCCTAGGCTCTTCCAAACATCGAACATCTTTTAAAGTCTGTAAATGGTTATGAATAATTTGGTCTTGCTTGATTTCTTTTTACTATGAAAGCATTGATAGATTTAACTACTCATACTCTAGTTTAGCTGCCAGAATCTCATCTAAAGACTGAGATAAGTCTGCTTCCTCCTTTAAATACAAGACAGTGACAGACTTTCAGAGGCAAAAACTATTGTCATAGAATTGTGACCTGGAAGATTCCCAGTTGCTGGCATGGAATGGCTAATGCATGTGTCTGCTAACCATGATTTCTTATTATTCACCAATTTTGCTGTACTGTTTTTATCTGCATAAATTAGTGAACTCCTACCAGATTCCTCTTTGGATCATAAAAGGCATTGATGCTTTTTGATGACACTTTTTTGGCCAATCAAGACTTCTCTTACATTTTCCCTAGGGAGGTATCAAACAGTTTGACTTCCTAATTAAGTATCCATGTACTGCACTATGTTTTTGGTAGGTTTAGAGATAAACAAGCACAAACTGTGATAAGAAAACCTGCAAAGACACACGCTTACTTCTGCCAGCAGGCCGCATGCATCACGTGGCCGCAGCTTCCCGTGTGGGTTCCACATGGCAAGTCAGGATGCATGAAAAGAGGATCTACTGTATCTAGAAGGACACAACATAAAAAAAACATTATGGAAAGAACAATAATGTAGTTTTCAGTCAATATGAACAGAAAGGAAAAACAGTACACACAGAGCACAAGCCTTAAGTTCTGCCTCCACAGCGTGCACAGCTGAATTAAAATCCTGTTTGGGAAACTTTTTATAGATTAATACTCTAAAATAAGGGAACCTCAAGACTCACTCACATCACAGCAGGCTTAGCGTTTCCAGCAGTTACCAAGAAAAGGACAAAAAGGACAAAATCCAAAAGCAATGGTTAAAGCTCCGTGGTTGTACCAACAAAACTAAAGTTTCTAATGAGTTTGTTCGTGTTTTTTTAAAATGAAAGAAGATGAAACTGCTACGGCCAAGAAAGACTAGGCCTTTCTTCACCTAATCCCTAATCAAAAAAATGCTGCTATTAATTTATTGGTTAAAAACAAGTAATTGATCGAACAAGATTCTGTACAAGTCTGTCCTGGGTCTGGTACTACTCAGTATTTTTTTTTAGCTGATCCAGAAGAAATACAGAACATCATAAGTGATGTTCTGAAGTAGAGTCCTACTACGTAGTAGACTCCTAAAAATCTAAGTAGTAGAGTCATAAAAAGTACACCTCATTTTGCTTAACAATTTGATCATGAATAACCTGAAACAAGCTAATGTGAAGATCTGAAAATAAGCAGGACTATAAACTGCAAGTTATCCAAGACAGACTTTCTACATTACATAACCGAGCACCAGGCACTTCGCTGTATTTCAAGGTGGAAGGGGAAAGATGTGGAACAGTTGAAGACTGCTTAGACTGCACTGCATGCACAACTAGGATTGCTTTTTTTTCTGACAAATATCTGTTTGTTATTTTCAGCACTCTGAGATCTTACTTATCTTCCATGCATTTTTAATGATAACCTAGGATCATGCTAGTAACAATGGTGCAGAGATTGCTTTCAATATTGCTTAAAAGCACTTTTCTTCTCGATATTTTTAGGAAGATGGCAAAAAAAGGCATTGAATACTTCAGCTTTGCCTATTTTCCTATTTATTTTCTTTCATCCCCATCAAGTAATTGGCCAAATTCCTCCTATCTGTTACTTTCAAAAAATTCTGGTTGGTCTTTATTTCTTGCCATTCCAACTGTGCATATCTTTTTTTTACATTTGTGCTTGAATGATGTCATGAGATCCTTGCTTACTACTTAAAAGTATTTTTGTTATCACTTTCTGGAAATAAAAGTAATAATCTCCTGAAGCAACCATATTTGCCTCTGATCATATTCATTTATTTCCTTCATACTGGAAATGCTTGCTATTGGACTTGAATACAGAGAAGCAGTTCAGAGACTCCTTCCAAAGTGACTGTTTCTAACCAAGTCTAGGTTTTTCAATTGTTTGGTTTTTTTTGTGGGGCAGAATGAAATCTTCACGTGTGTGTGTGTCTTTTTTTTTTTTTTTTAAAAGACGTTTAAGTCATGGATTCTAGATCAGTTTCAAAACTTCCTTTTTATTATGTAAGTGTAAGCCATATAGCAACCTGACTGAATGCAAATTCTACTTAGTTTCAAAGGATCTAGGTTCTAGGTACAGAGCAGTTTGCAACCTAGAAGAAGGAAAAAACAAACAAATGAACAAAACAAAACAAAACAAAACCCCCAAAAAACGTACCTCCTGAGAGCTCCAGAATTCTGCTCCTGTTTTGAGTTAAGGCAGTTGATTTCTGGACACAGGCAGATAAAACCATGGCAGCGCTTTCCAGCTTTACTTCCTGCTCCTCCTGACAAAGAATACATGTCAGAACTTCTTTCTCAGCAACTGATGGACCTCGTTTGGGACCCAAAGCAATCTTGGAGTGATCTATTGCCAAAGACATGCTGTAAGAACATAAGTAACAAGTATAAAATAATCAGCTGGCTTTTTCCAGGCATTTTTCCTAGCATCTGAAAACCTAATTTACTGCTAACATTTCTCTTTTTATAGCAAAGTGCGTGCATTAACAAAACAGAATGATGAAAAAATGCCTCAGTTCTCACTAAGTGCAGTTAAAAGTAGAAAGTGGAAAGCATTTAATGTAGCATAACACAGTGAAATGGATACAGTAGGATACTGAGAAAAATGTATTCAATTTAAATTCGATTAGACATGTTTTAATCAAAGAAATATTAGTTTTTCTTTCTTTTTCTTTTTTTTCCTTGGAGAAAGTATACTAAAAATGAATGCCACTACTTTATTCAATGCTCTGTGAAATTATAAACTTCCATGCAGTGTTAAATGAGATATAATGCAAGGTATTAATAATTTGTTCCATAGAATTCAATGATGATTTAGACAGTATAACATTTTGAAGATCAAAGCTCACAGAAGTGATCATAACTTTATTTCCTTTAGCAGATATCTCTACTTTCCCGATCAGTTCTGCGCATCCCCAATTAAACTAACTTGTAATTAGTTTTCAGCATACCACGCTGCTCAAGCACTTCCAGAATGGGAGCAACTCATACCAGCAAAATCATGGTTTCACTAGGGCAGCTAGACATAGCTTTCCTTGCACTATCCTCCCAAAGGATAAAGAGCCATTCCAGTGCACACGAAGCTTTGCTTCAACAGCTCGAGCACCCTGAAGGAGATGTCACGCCGTTGGGCTAACAGAGGTGTGGGGCATAAAATGGGGAGATTACTGCAAGTGGCTGCTGGCAGCACTCACAGGTAGCAATTATCCATCACTTCTGAACAACAACAACGTTCTTTCGGTGTTTATTCAGTGTATATTTCAAATATTCACCTAGTAATGCAGTCTTTCCTCTAGATCTGGCTCATTAAAATAAAATATATAAAAATCTAAGAGGAAGAATCTAAGAACAAAAAGCACTAATCAAATAAATTTAGAGCATGCACTAGAAAGACAGCATACATTAGATTTGTGACAAACATTAAAATCGTGATAACCAGTCGTTAATATACACTAATATTAGGATGTATATTATGAGTAAGTTGTTTCTTAAGAAATCTTCTTAAGATTAAGAAAGTTGTTTCTCCAATAAAAGCAGCCAACCTGTGAAATACCAAGTGCCCTCAGTACAAAGTTACATGCGAAAAGCCAATGACAAAACATAACACCCACAAGAGCTACAAGAAGTAGGTCTTCTTCACTACTGCCTAACTTGAATTTTAGATTTTCTCCAAATCAGATACTTGGAAGTTTTCATATACAGTAGACAATTACCTCCAATTTTCAAATGAAAATAATTTTTAATACAGTTTCTCTTACGCTATTCCATTAATTTTTGTGATATTAAATGTTAAATGAATTCTGTATTAGACAAAGTCTTAAATACTGGCACGATTTTGCTGACTGTTTTTTGCAAATGCTCTCAATTTTTATGGAGTGGAACTACTTTAATCGTCTCTTCCCATCAGACCTCGGGATGTGTCCTTTTTCTTACCTTTCTTCCTCCATGATAGCATCCTCTTTCCCCTGAGTCTCCAGGGTGTTTTCATACAGGAGCTTGTGGGTTTCAATGAAATTCCTCTGCAGAGCAGACATCTGGGCCATTATCTTCTGACGATGCAACCTGGCTGCTTCTGCTTTTCTCTTCCGTTCAGCTTTCTCTTTGTCTTGAGTGCTCTGTGCCTTGCATAAAAATAGAACAGAGGAAAAAGGAGAGAAGGCAATAGAAAACATTAAAAAAAAAAAGGTAGAATTCTTCCAAGTTCAAGTATTCTAATCACTAACATGAAATTCCTTAACTCACCTGGCAGCACTTGAATACTAAATTTGTCATGTGAAAAAAAAATATTAAAATCTTGAGCGTTAACTAGGACCAAAACAGAACATTGAAGAGATTTTGACTAGTTTGCAAGAGGACACCTAGCACACACCCTTGCTCAAACACAGAATCAATAAATACCTGATCTATTTTAGCTTGAAGTTCATCTCCTCTGTTCTTAAAAGGAGACTTCAGTGAACTTTCTTTTTCTCATCAAAAGTGAAACTTGTCTCCCTTCCAAAAACTTAAGAAAATTTTAGCCTGAACAGTCTATGAATAGGAAACACATCACTGACAGCATTTTACATAGCTAAGGAAATTCTTCCCCATCTTTCTTTATTATAGACCAGAAAATTTTCCTTCTTCCAATATTTTCTCAACTACCATGTTTTCAAAAAATATAAACACAGTTGATACTTTGATAACATAGAATTCAAAAACACAGGTAAACAATTAAAATACATGAAATCTCTTCTTTGAACTGCTGTGGTAGGCTGCTGTGGAGCTTTGTATGCCATGGCTGGCTAAGAGCTGCTGAGAATCAAGGCGCTGCCAAGGAGAACATGTCAGTGCCAGCTTATTTGTATAACCCTTAGATAGGGAGCTAAGTGGATTCTTCTTTCCTGTTCAATAGCCAAATTTAAAAATTATGTAGGGCTAAATCTCCAAAAACTCCATTCCTCTGTGTTGTTGGCAACTGGATTCAAAAGTCATTTTGAGGGGAGAGGGCACAGACCGATACATAGACAGAGTAATCACATAAGCTTAATGTCTTTATGCAATCAAGGTAAAGTAGCTTTACAGGAACCACCAAGAGGTCAATTACATGACAATGCAAATCCAAGTTAATTCATAAGTACTGCATACACATAAACATACATAATATATGTACAACATAATATAAAAGGTAATAATATCACTAAGACATGAAAAAGGAGAACAGAAACAAATACTTTCATGATTTTCTGCTCCTGTTTTACTTAACTCTATTTGGAAGTGTAACCATGCATTTGTTTTTAAATATCCATCTTTGAATTTAAATATTGTTTGTACACAAAATAATATTAGAATACCTAAACTCATATTTGTGTGCATCAATAGCTAAACAATCACCTATTTAAAAACAGACATTCAAAAAGTTTAAAAGCTACAAAAGTTCCATGGAATATTTATCATTACCTCATCACCTTTTGTAACTTCTGAGCCTGATGTAGCTATTACTGTTGCCAAACTTGATTTTTCTCTCAATCTCTTCACTGTGTCAAACATCTAGAAATAGAGACTTAGATGTTAAAAATAAAATACAACTTGGCTATAGTCACAATACAGATAGACCAAAATTCTTGATATTTGTTTTCACATTGTTTTTAGAATTTCATATGAAAAAGAAGCCATATTCCTAAATGAGGGAAAGAATTTAGGAATATGGAGCCATATTCCTAAATGAGGAAAAGCACCTAGTGCTTTTACTCCTATAACGTGGAGTTATAGGAGGGGGGAGTTATAAGGGGAGGGGGAGCACTGAGAAAAACTTCTCTTCAAGAAATAATTTGCTTTTAACACTAAGGAGTTATATATGAATCATAACATTCTAATTTACTAAAATACTGCAGTTATATTCTCTCCTTGTTTACCTGCAGGATCCAAATGACTGTGTCCTTCTGTGCTTCTAATTGAGGAACTCTTCTTAATTTTTCCAGAAGCATTAATACGTTCACAGCATTCAAGGCGGAGCTTCCCATTCCTTTACAAAGAGAGAAAATAGAAATGCACGCATCTTTCTTCTAGTTTATTGTCCACTAAAAAAAAAAAAGTAGCACAAAAAAAATCAGCTAGACTGATTTTCTTTGTGCTTTCAGAAAAAAAGTGAAACATACTTGTTGCTTTGTGATAGAAATCAAAGGTTACTTCCTCTTCTGGAGACTTCTGTAACTGCTGCTTCTCTTCTAATAATCCTAGAGAAAGGAGATGAAGCACCTAGAAAAGATTAAAAAAAAACGCAAAATTCATTCACTGTCAGAGGATACCAGGAAATTGGTATATAAAGCTAAGAACGCTTACTATAGCTCCTTCCCTACTGCATGCTGATTGTATATATGATCACACTCAAAAACCAGAAAACATTTAAAGATGGTACATGAAAAAAGCAACTCCCATGTCCTCCTCTCTGTGCATAGTTTTCCTTCTTAGATTTTATTGAATAAACTTGCATACATTTCACATCACTAGCACCTGAATCTGTTGTGTTGCTGGCATAAATCTATGAGTATGTAGTTAGTTCCACAAGGCAGCTGAAAGTTGACTCACTTGGATATATCAAAAACAGTTAACAGACTTAATACAGGAGCCCACACGGGTAAAACACCAACCCCAAGCCTACCATTTGGATCATGGCTTCTGTCCACAGGTGGGTTTCCAGCTCTACTGCTCTCTGAAGGATGGTCCGCAGTATGTGCATCATAACATCACAGTTCAGAAGCTTCACCACGTTGCTGAATGCAGGACTGAACTCTGGAGGGGGCGGTGGTGGCAATGCTAAAAATTGCATTTATACGTATCAGTATATATCAATACATATCAGTGTAAATCAGAATATATTATTAAACATACCGGCATCTCATGAATGATTACAGACAAGAAGTAGAGAGCAAATATACTGCTCTGTGTTGAAAGAACAATCAGATTTTTCAGTCATAGAAATATGACCAAACATAAGGGCTTAAGTCAGTTTTTTCCAAAGATGAAAGCTAAGTGTATTTAATTAACTACAGAAATAAATATAAGGAAGTATCAGGTGCTAGCTGATTATGATTCCCATATATCACAAGAAAGTTAAGCTTCTGATCTGAACTCAGGTACACTGTTATTTGACACAAGTCTCATCCTGAGGATGCTCTGCTTGTTACACTGAGCAATTACATTTGTTGATTTGAAGATAAGAGGCCCAAATTTTTACCTTCATCTCTGTTTTCTTGTTTTCTTCTTTTTTTCTGTGTATGCTCAGCCTACAGAAAAGGTAGTGTTGTTATATCAGTATCTCTACAGGAGTATGTAAAGAAAAAATCAGAAACCACAGGCTAGCAAATGTCGTAAGATAAATAGTAAATGCTCAGGCAAATTTTTTCCTTAAAGATGCTTAATAATGTCACAGGTCAATTTTGCAGTAGAGGTTAATAATTGGACATCTTTTCTTCCTCCTTTAAAACTTATAAAAACAAAATTGAGGGGTCTTCCAATGCAAAGGCAATTCTTAAATTTTATTCTTGGGACAAATATTTAAGAGAGACTAAGGCTACAGGTATCTTGGGGAGAAAAACAGCATTGCAAATCATACCATGTCAATGTCTGTTAAAATTTCATTTGCTTTGGGCTTACAGTTAGCAGTACACATCATTTACTAATCAGCTTCTTGATAATCCATTATTTTCACTCCTCTTATTCAGGAAAGTTATTTAGAACATCAAAAAGTATATGTCACGTTTATCTAGAGAATTGTATTTTATAGTGCCTACCTTGCTGTGCTGAGTCTTAGTATAGTGATAAAAGAACATATTGAACTCCTTCAGACATTCATCTTTCAATTCATAAACTCCATGGCCTGATACACCTGGTTTCCTTAAAAAGAAATATTTCAAAATAGAGAGATTATTAATGCATCTTCAACACATCTTTGAATGTGTACGAGCCAATAATACCATTTGTTTTCTGCGGAAATGCTAATCACAAAATGCAATTCCAATTGTTGCTTCCTCAGCTTATGAGGACAGTAGAGTAGGTGCAGTTATCTGTCTGTATTTTTTGATACTGTGATAAATTAGGGACAACACGGAAATACTTCTACCTACAACACAACTTAAGTTTTCTTAAGTTCCGAATTGAAAACTTAAGTAACACAAAGCGACTTTCCAGGTGCATCAGCAAAAAAACCATTTTCTCTATCTCCCACATCATTCATTAGGCAAAACTACCAGGTACATTGCAACTGCCATTGATTCAAAATAAACACGTATGCCACATGACATTCAGTAATTCAGTAAAATCTAAACCAACAAGTGAGTGTGAATGCTAAAGGCAAAATGAGTTGTTAAGGTTCCCAACTATCCCTTAAACTAAACAAGCATACATAAGCTAAGAGTTCTTATTTCACTTTCATGCTACTGGGAGAAGAGTCTTAAGAACTTACTTAAATGTAGCTACTTTATCAATTACACTCTCCAAGCCAGTTTCGTTGTTTTCCTGTTTAAAAAAAAAAAAAAAAAAAAAGTTGTTTAGGATAGGTACATAATGATTCAAATATCTTCAGTATTAAGTGATTAAAACTAAAGGATCTTTCTGATGATGACACACAAGACAATGACCTCCATGGTCCTACAAGGCCAACAGAGAAAAATAATTTTAAAGCATTTTTTTCTTTACAACGAGAAGAAATATGCCTGAATAGACTAAAAGATTACACCCCTTCATTTCAAAGCACAGTCCCCATATCATCCTGTCCAGATTAGACCATACTGGAACCCACGGCATTTACCACAGTTGTCATGTTATATTGCAGATATGAACACAATATTTACAGTTTACATATTTTAATAAAATAAAAAAATGTACTCTCATATAGAAAGATATGGGGTCCAAAGAGGAAAAGGATATAAAAAGTTTTTTCAAAAGGAACAATCAGATTAGGACTCACATTTTCAGGCAAGGACTTGGTAATCGCACTGTGAGCCATTGGTTCAATGCAGAGCAGATGGATGATTTCTCTCATGATAACATCTTCCTTTGTTACATTACTCACTCCAGGCACATACCTTTCTCCTGCCAGGGTGCATCAAAAGAAGGAAAATAGCAAACAGAGTTAGAAAACTATTTTCAATTTTGCTCAGCAATAGTGCTGCTGTTGGATAATTCACGATACAAGTTTGCATTTCTCAAGCAATTATTCCAAGTATCTCAGAGAAGTCAGGAAAAGGGGCTTTTAGAGCCTATGTTGATAACAAGGGCTCAGACGGAGATTATTCTTCATATTCTATCTTGATAATCAATTACGAAATTATCAAAAACTATTGCTTTCCGTTCACAAATACTTGTCTTATTGAATCTTCTATATAAAATAGGAATTTTCCAGTATCCTCTCCATACAAGAACAAACAAAAAAAACAAGAGTCATTTAGCCCATTTTTTTCAAACGGCAATTACGCACTGATTTCTAGGACAATAGTAAGATGAAGAAAACCTTAATTACAAACCCTTAAAAAAAAAAAGAAATCCTCAAAACATTATTAATATATTCATGATAAACAGTCTCTTACCTACAACATAGATTAGAATCTGTAACATCTCTTCTATCAACACATTATATTGCTTGATCAAATCCTACAAAAGTTAGAAAAAGCAATTAAAAAAAAACAAAAAAAAAATCTGTCAAATGAGGTCAACCTTCAAATGCGTTTTTCCCTGAAGCAGTGAATTGTAAGATGAATCTACCACTCTAAAGAGCTAGAAAAAGTGCCTGCCTTTATAAGGTGGGTATTATTCTACAAACAAAGCGCAAAATTTACATGGAAGAAAGGAAGAACACTGATAAAAAAGTACCCCAAAAGGAGGATTATGTACAAGCTAAAATCAAGATGGATAATAGAAATGTTGTAGAGACATTTATACATAATATACACAGAATATGACTTGATAGATATAGAAACCTTGCAAAAAAGAATATTTCCTTCTTTGGGTGATGATCTAGAAAATTGTTAACAAAGAGATTTGCTTATACCCAAATATATGTTTATCTTTTGAATGTGCACGGTACAGAACAACGAAAAGCAGAATTAAAGAAATGTATGGAGAGAAGGAACAAACCAGACAGGATGGATACTCTTGTGGTTTGTATGTAGAAACTTATGCCATGGTAGTATTACAATTGCTCGAACAGCCTGGTAAGCAGAAAGCCCTCTGAACAAAATGTGTCAAAGAGGGCAAAGCCAGTTTGTTCATTTTGAATAAAAAGTCTCTATATTCAATAGAGAATCTGTTAGTTTGCTAACTCCTAAGTTCTATGTTGACTGTGCTTCAGCATGGTCATAAAAACGCAGTGATCAATAGATATCAGTTTTTCCATTAACATTCTATAAACTCAAAAGCAGGCAAGAGCATTGGCAGAAATACTTGCCACTTACCTGATCTTTGGTGGGCTTCATCTTCTTGAAAGCATCAACAAGCTCATATCTCTGCAGCATCAGCAGAAGGAAATGATTTGGATCCATAAGAGATGCACCGATCTGCCAAAAACCCATGTGGTATGAAAGTCAGTTACATCAGAATTGCTATTATTAGGTTATTAAGAAAAATATTTTATTAATAGAACATTTCAAAATGATTTAAAACAAAAATTAAATTAAATCCACTAAAATGTTGAGTGAAATGAGCAATGACAAATCATAGATACCTGAAGCATGATGATGTCTTTATCATACATTTCTTCTCTGCATTTAACATCTTGGTAATAGAATACCTGAGAAGTAGGAAAACAACATTTAAGTAGGTAAGTCACATAATGCTGAAGTATACACTATCAAATCTGGGGCAAACTTTTTTTCTTTTCTTTTCTTTTTTTTCTTTTCTTTTTTTTTTTTTTTTTAAATGTACAGCACTTTTGATTAGGCAAGGAAAAGTCTTGTGCTTCTTTCCAAACAAATATGTATATTGATGACAGCCAAAACTTTTTTTTCTTCCACTAATCCAAGAGAAAACCTACACCATACTTATCTTCTCACCTTCTTCCAAGATAATATAATTCAAAAGGCTGTCAAGCCCTTCTTGAAAAAGTCACCCACCTTCTCCCACCTCACATCTGAAACAGTGAGTTCTACAAGGGGCTAACGACACTTCCTTTGGTTTGACCAGAGGGCCTTGTGAAAGGCAGATATAGAAGATTTCTGCTTTCGTGGATGAAAAACAGTGAAGCCAAAGCAGGTAAAATACAAGAACACAAGGCAAAATACAAGGCAAATTTTAGTGATTCTATTGTATTAAAAAAATAACCAACAGCAAAATATTATTTGCTATTTCCACTTACAAGGTACTGCAAAGTTAGTCTAGTTTGAGATGTAAATTGTTTAACTTTTCCATATGATGATTACTATACACTAAGAAATAACAGCAACATTTTATGTTAGAGGAACAGCAGTTACAGTCTTGTCTTTAGAAGAGCTGAAAATAGTATGTAAGAGATGTCAGTAACATCAATACTATTTCTCAGAAAGCAGAAAAAGTCATAAAATGAAAAATATTATTTTAATGTGGCCAAGAAAATCATTGACAAAGCTGAAAATAAAGCCAAGGTATCCAAATTCCCACGTAGAAACCTATCAGTTAAGGGAATTTCTGTAGGAGTGCCCCACATGAGCTGCTTTTGCACTGGACAGAACAGCCCCTGAGAACACAACTGCCATAAACTACTAGAACAGAGTCACTGCTGCACACTACTATAGAGAGTACCTGGCTTATCAGGGAGAGCCCATTCCTCCTCCACATCTCTGCTGCAACCTGTGCGACCAAGACAAGGCATCGCAAAGGATATTCTACTAGCAGGTCCACTTGGAATTCTTCCTAAAATAAAAACAATAATGAAGCAGTTTAACATGAATGTGTTAAAAAACTTAGAAGAGATATTTTTGAGTGATTTTTCTCCTTCACAGAATATCATAAAAATTGTATTTGAAAAACAAACCAAAAAAAAACACTACACAACTCACAGGGGAAACAAATTCATGCAATCTTGAGATAGTTCCAGTCTTGCTTAATCGTACATGAAGACCTAAACAATGAATAGGAAAAAGTGTGAGAACAATCAAAAATGTCAGTCAAATCTGTCTTCCAAACAATTTTAAGTGTTAGCTAAGCCACCTTCAACTCTGAAAATTAAAAGCTACAAACACCGAATTAAACTTCATGTAGGAAGGACTTGTTATCTTTTAAGGTAACAGATCTGTAACATTAACACAGCAGTTCTTTCCAGTTTATAATCTACTGTTTTAATAATAAATCTATTCGCTTAATGAATTCATTTAAAGCATGTAAACGGAGGTAATAAATAGAAGCTACTAGCTCATAATTTCTCATTTAAACACAAGCTAAGCAAGAATCTTAAAATGGCAAGGCTTAGCAAATCGTCTATCCAGGTAGTGAATGATGTGACAAAGAATCTATAGCTTAAGAGCTTTCATCTGCATTTTAGAGAGCGCGCCCATCACCTATTGCTGTGGTTCTTTGTATTCAGTTAAAGTGCCTTGCAGAATTAGGAAACAGAATGGATGATACAGCCTAATTCAAACAGAAGTTAAAATAAATAAAAAGCATCTACCTGCAAGGGTCCTCGACAGAGGTAAATGTATGCTGACAGGATCTGTAGACACTCTGTAAGGTCTGCTCTCCAGAGTGTGGCCACACATGTGGAACACTGTCTTCTCCCGCGAGCGGCCATTTGTGCTGCACCTCATCACCGCTTTGTGACATTCTTTATAGGCTCTCAGCAATAGCTCCTCCTGGAATTGTAAACAAACACATACAGATACAGTTAAAGGTAATACTGATGCAGTAAAATTTCTCATCTGCTTTTTTTGTTTGTTTTTGTTTTGAGGATTCCCCCCCTCCCTTCTGAGAGTCTAAATGGATACTAAAATCCACAATATAGCTACTACTTTTTTCTTATTACTGAGAAGCACTGGACTGCAGCAGTAGAGCATCGTCCAAAGTTAACTGAGGACCTCCTTCTATTTAAACAGCTCAACCAAATGCACTAGAACTATTTATTCAGGTTGCAAAATTTTAAGGTTTTTCAATGCCAGCAGACCACTTTGGATCAAGAAGCCCTTGAATTGCAGTTTCACTTCTTTCTCTACTAAAAAATAAAGGAAACCCATGCCAAAAATGTCTTTAAGTCAAGAAACATTACAGTTTCCTCCCTCTCCCTAGTACAGGAATGAGTTCCAGCACGGCTAAAGAATTAACATTAAACTGAATTAGTGCTAAGTTCCTGCAGCCCACTCCTAGATGCAACGACAAATACCATACTCTTCAAAAATTTAATTTGTCAGATCACCATGAAGCAAGCTAGGAGTCAAAATCTTGAAGAAGGAAGTGTTCTTTGCAGTTTGATAGTCTCTATGATATTCCTCTCAGCTTCATCACTGAGGGATTTATATTCTCATTCTTTTGAGATCTCCTCTTTTAATTGCATAGCACAAAGTATTTTGGGCTCAGGTTTTGTGAAGATTTTGTGGAGTATTGTGCAATAGCATGCTTAAAAAAAAACTAGACACTAATGCACTCAAGTATATTCCCAATAATACATGAAAAAAATCTCAGACAACCCATTTGCTTACATCACATGCACACCATTCTTGGAACATCAAAAGAATATTCTTCAGCTGCATCTGTATAGCAATGGCTGCTTCCCAGTCTGGGTCCACCTCAATGTGCTGACCCATCTGTCTTTTTATCTCCTCCATTCCCTGAAACCAACAGACCACAAGACATGCAAGCAGGATTAATGATTACAGACTTTAAACAACAGAAGAACCCATAAGCAAATGGTAAAACATGAAATGTCCACTATTTTTCACTTCAACTGAACAGCCTATCCAGACAGGAAGCATTACTTTTTCACCCACTAAAGACAGACACCACAGAATTTATTTGAATTGTATGTTTATATCCACAATATGGCTATGGTCAAAAAAGATGAGAAAACAGAGAGTCCTATAATATCTTTATAATAGCATATAACAGGTGATTTAAATGTATTGTACCTGCATGCAAGTTAGAATCCTTAGGAACGAAACAAATCCTTCTAAAAATCGCTCCCTCAGACGGTCTGTCCACAGCGTAGGCTTGCTGATTAAGACATACCTGTCCCCAAAGAAACATCTTATGTTGCTCAGACTTTCCTTCTGCTCATGCTTATATTTAAAGTATTCATTATATAAATCAACAACACATTACATTCCCACCTCAAACTCCTCCAATTTTACCCCTTTTAATTTTCCTCAGACATTAGAGATGCTAGAATTAGAACTCTACTATTTGAAATTACAGATTTTGAATTCCAAGCTATTTGGGGTGCCTTACCTTGACATTATTGAATTTATTAGACCTCTGTCCCTGATTTGGGACCTATAAAAGTGGAAAGTGCTACACAAATGAAATTACAGTTTTCCCAGAATGAAAATGAATAGAAGATAAATTTCCTCTTGTGTCTGATAGCAGATGTTTATTGAAACAATTATTATATGGACTGACATCAGCAAAAATTATTACAGATAAGCTTACAGAGTATGTAAGCATTGTATTGACATTTGCTAGCTTTAGCAATTTCAATTCGAAATCTGGTGATAAATGAAGCACCTCATCCTACTACCAATTTTCTAAGAGTTGTTTAAAGCTTCTCAACATGACACTAACCTGAGGTCATATATTACTGCATACACCCGGTTCAGTTTGTCCTGGCTGTAACCTTGGAAGTTGAATTTATCATTTTTGTCCAGGTACTCTGGCAGCACTTCTAGTAGGGTCTCCGTAATGATGGTGATTACCTTTTGCTCTTCAATAAGGTGGCGGGCCTGCAAGAAGAGAAGTATTCAACAGAAGCATTCTGCTGGAATTTAGTGTTAGGTGAACACAACACCTAATAACTTGTCACTCCAAATGGCCTAAAGACAAATATTCTTCAATGCTGTAGGCTGAAGTGTATTTGCAGTAAAGATGGTGGTGCCCAAGAGGTACCATATCCCCCTACAGTTATAATCTTTAATACAGTGCATCAAGGTCAATTTAAATTAAGGGACATGTATCTTGAGCCATACCATTCTCTACTGGGAAAACTTAAAAGGCTACATAACCATGTAGAAGTTCACATTAGTAATGTTCACATTATTAAAATAGTCAGGGAGACTATTTTATATTATATAATATATAATTTATATAAATTTATGTTATAGACTAAATATATATATCAGGAGGAAATGCTCAACTAGTGCGCTAAAAACACACACACACACTGTTCATGTTTATGCCCTTGTTCACTCTCTAGGATGTGTAAATTTATCCTCAATATTTCACTCACATTCAGCTTTTTCTCCATAAACCATTAAAAATGTCTACTTTCATCTTCCCTAATTTTGCTGGAGAGAGCTGGTGAGATAATTTTCCTTATGAATCCACCGTTTTCCACTAGAAATTTTAAGTGTTTGTAAGAATTTCAAGCTACAAGATTGCCTGTAATATTTATTAACACAATAATTCCTATAAGCTAAACATACTGCCTTGCTATGACAGTTTCAGTGCAATAGTTTTACTATTCTTTCTAAACAGATCATTTAGAAAAGGTCTGAAATTCTAATATAACAAATAAGAAACATACAATCTTAAAAAGGATAATTTTTTTTTTCTCCACAAGACTTACTGTATTTCACCCGCTCAAACACAGTAAGCTTTATTTCTTGTTCCATGATAGTCAGTCTTAAAGATACGTAAGAAGGTGCATGCAAACAGTAAACTCACAGAGAAATTTAAGGCAGAGAACGGTGATGTCTAAAACCCTCACATACTTGCATTCCTTCTAATTTTTGTAATGAATTTTCACACAAACTCAGGCTCTGGCTTTCACATTCCCCTCAAAAAACCTCAAAGTAATTCATTTTAGACTCAGCAGTGCATACAAACCCATGGCTAGATAGAGCAGCAACTACAAATGTGCTACTGTTAGGAATTATCATATTTTACATTCCTCATGGAGATAAGGTTAAACATACCAGAGTAGGCACAGTGAACATCTGAACAGAGAGTGCTGTCACAGAGAGAACTCTGTCATGATCATCGTTGATGTATTCTTTTTGCAAAGACTTGTAGTACTAGCAAAAGAGAACATTGGGGAAATAAAACAAATAAAGCTAGTTTAAGTGAAAAGTGTTTCCTTTTTTATTTGAAAGAATTATTGTATTTGAAACATGCTTCATTCCAACAGAGGCTGTTTAAACAAGAAAAACTCCAATGACCTCAATGCAATGTACTTAAATGATAAGTCAGTGGGACACATGTTTAAGCTAAGAACAAATTGAATGCACTGACAAACTGCAACCAAAATATTTTATTTCCTACCTATAGAAAAGTCATTAGCTTAGTAGTAAAATAAGCCTTCTTCAGTAAAATGTATGGACATACATCTAAACATACAGACATAAACATACGGAAATACATTGAACTATAATAAATAGGTATTTTTAGTTTTTACACTATAAAAATGGGTAAAATTAGTTATATAAGTCCTTCTTTGCTTTGATTCAATTTAGTGAAAACCACTGACAATCACCTTAGGTTTACTAGAGTTAAAAAGTCTCCCTTAATAATAAGGAAAAAAAGGTTCTATATATGTTCTATGTATTTCTTAACTATTTCATCATTATTTTAAAAAAGCTCCAATTCATTGCTGTTTGAAAAGATAAAGAAAACACTAATAATATTGCACTCGAAGATCATATAAACCTACATAACTGTATAAAACAGACCAATGATACTGGAATTAATACACTACATGGGAAATTCTACATGTTGTAAAGTCGTAACTTATACAGAAACAATGAAGGAAGTTTCTAAAGTTACTAAATATTTATTGCATAAAAAACACATAAACAGTTACCTTCACAAATTCCACAGCAAAAAGTTTTTTGTATTCCATTTCCATGAAGAAACTACTGAAAATAAGCTCATGAAGAACCTTTCTTGCTCCTGTGAAGAGTCAAAACAATAAACCTGATTTTATTGCACTAAGATGCAGGTTTTTACGGGAGATAGAAATGGATTAAAAGATACGATTAAAAATCATTTAAGGGCTTTACTGATCTGTATCTAACACACAGTCACTCAGTCGGGATTTCTCAAAACACATTAAAATAACACATACACAAAACACATGCAATAAATTCATACCCAAAATCTCTATTTTTAAGCTCTATAGCACTATCAAAAAGCACCATAAAAACTATGCAGAAATATTAACTCCACACTAACATGGCACACACTCATTTTTACACATTTTTTAAATAAAAGAAAATAACAATTTGCCTCAGTTTATAGAAACATGTACACACAAACCTTTATGAAGTTTCGCATCCCAAAGTATCAACTTGCTTATGAAGCAGGGTTTTTCAGACCCAGCATCTTCTTTGAGACATATCTGACAAAAAATCTGCCGAAAGTCACCTGTAGAGAGAAAGTCACTCATTTGTAATAGAATGCTTTGAAAGGGTCCAAGCCAACAGAACTACGAAAGACTCTACTCTCTAAAAATAAGCCATTAAGTATGGATCAGTTCCTAACAATAAGCTCCCCACATACTCCTTTCCTCCCATTACTGTTACCTTCTTTCTATAATAGACCCAGTAACATAAAAGAGTATTTTAAAATGAAACACATTCAGGCAGCTTGGCATGCAGGTCAACAAGCACATAGGCTGTGGCAGTATGGAAGCGCATATGTTGGTCTAGCATATGTATAGCTAGACTAGTCTCAACTGGTCCCTGCATTGGGCCCTCAAAGTCAGTATTCTGTGGGATTTCAGAACATTACTTTATACTTTCTTTTACCTCTCAGTAAAAACAATGTCTTGGGGATGAACATTATGTTACAAGTTACACTTACTTGAATAGCTCATGAGTTTATTCAGCCACGAACCAAGGCGCAAGGCAAACTTCTGGTGAGCCATAACATCCACATGCAGAACCTCTACATGAAGTGGTCGTTGAGAAACATTTTCAGAATGCCTCTAGAAATCAGGTAATTGGTAAATATAAATTAAAAACAGCATGAATTTTCACATTTGTCTTCAACAGCAAGTCACAAAAACATGGAAGTACTAAGACACAGATTACAGAACAGATAAATTAGCCTCGAGTATTAGTAAAAACAAACCAACAAACCTAAGCACAATGGTGATTAAATGAGAAAAGCATTTTGGGAAGCTACCTTGATTTCTTCCTTTGCTTCCTGACAAGATGCATAATGTCCTGCTTTAACAGCTCTACGACCCTGTTTAAAGAAAACAGTAAATATGAGACCAATGGCGTATACATATACAATAAAACACAAGAGAGATTTCCACAGAATACAGTAAATAGAATTTTCTTCCTAGCAGGAGACAGACTCACCCCACAGTGCTTTTCTATAATCTTTTTTTTCTATTATTTCTTACATCTATACATCTATAAAACTTATCTCTATCAACAGTGCAGGGTCCTAATATGGTCTCAAATATTGGTTTGAGAAATGAGAATAAAATCACTGGGTTCATCCACAGTCTCTCTTTCTTTTTTTTTTTAAATCAAAGCTTCAAGACCTCCAAACTAAGCTTGAGCCAGAAAGAATACTAATTCTTGCAAAATGTTAACAAGAATTCTCTTTAAATATGATTGAATATGCACCTTGTTGTCTTAATGTTTCATTTTAAAGGCATTTGAAATGCAAACTTCTGGTATCCAATGGGATAATAAGTCAAACACAAATGAAAGATAATCACCTTCAGATAAATCAGGGCCTATTCCCCATTTCAAGAAAATGGGTTTTCCCTGAAGCAAAATTCAAACAGTTTTAAAAATCTTGGTGAAGCAAATGTTGACTAACAGTTCACTAGACTTCACTGCCTCTCCAAGCTCCAGCATTCCAGAAACAAACCAGTCAATCATTAAAAAGGGACTCTTCCCCAAAACTGAGTGTGTACTAACCTCTTTATCTATGGCAGTAGTATGCAACTGGGCTTCACCGAGTTCACAGCCAAGGGCCCTTTGCAAGCTATAGATGACATGATCATAGGAATGGTGTTCATCGTTGAAAAGGACACAGTAGTAGTTGTCTGCCTTCTCTCTGCTGGGGAAAACACAGCATTTCATCGCACGAGGAAAGAGAACATTGTAAATATCCTGTCCAATACAGCAACAGATCTTAACTCAAGAGAGAAGTTACAAATATAAAAAATAGGAAAGAAGTTAACCATGTTTTTCATCTCAAGGACACCAAAAATTGCCTTTCATCTACACCAAAACAAACCACAGAGGCGACATACAAAGCACAAAAGGGCTTCTCAATTACTGAATTAACTCAAATTACTGAATTCCCTCTTCTCTGCCACTTCATCATCTCATTTTTCTTTTTAATGATACAGAAGTCTTTTTCCACGTTGATTGAGCAACATCACACATTACTTTCTGCAGGAAGTATCAAGAGCTCATCTGCATATACAGATCGAAAACATTATACATTACATTATACCCATACATACAGGTCAAAAACATTATAGTGTCATTCACAGAGATTTTCACACTAACAACTTGGAATGAAAGTGGCAATACCTACCGGCAAAGTTTATAAAACTTTAGAGACAGAATTGAAAATACTCCCTACCTGATTCTGAGCTCCAGAGGCAGTTCCTTTTCTTCTTCCCATATAAGCATATCTACAATGTATTTTATCACAGCAGGAAACACCCTCCTGGAGTGTTCCATAACCTCTTCATTTAACTGACATTCAGAATTCTGTAAAAAAGGGAGTTAATATCAATATCAATTTTTTTTTTAAATATAAAAAAAGGTATTAGTAAAATACTTCCTTACTGTCTCCCTCTCTCCCAGGAGATAAACTTTTTACGATTATTAAGCAAATTCATCTCATCTCATTTCTTCCCTAAAAACCATTTCATTCTAAAAAGTTGAAGATATTTAAAGTTGGCAATCCAGGTGTAAATTCCACCCTGTATTAGCATAGATTGCTGTCTGTATGCATATTTTCTCAAATATTTACAAGATTCCTTGAACAGAATTAGAAATAGAAAATGCAACTTTGTTCTTTTCAGAGATCCCCAGCCAGACTTATTCATTAATCAAAATATCCTTATTAACTAGCATATTTTCCATCCATCCAGGCAAATCTTATTAAAGTGAATCATCTACACCATATGATAACATTATAAAATCTTTCCATAACATTTTAGCAGGAGAGAAGAGGAGATTATAAACAAAAGAAAATAATTTCCAAATGTGCTCTTAAGTATGAAGCAATGAAATGTTCCAGCACAAGCCACAGATCTTTTCCAAAGACATTCTTTTTCTAAAAAGAGAGATTTAATCCAAAGGCCCTAAACAATCACACACATCTTGGATTATTAATGAACATTTCTTGATACCAACTTTCTCTCAGCATATCCTTGTATAAATAATATATAACACTGTTATTCCTGACAATGCAATACAGAAACAGAAGCTGATATTTTCTAGAGTACTTTCACAGAATTTCCCATAATATTAGGGTCAACTAAACTGCTTAAAATATCTAAGGATGTATATGTTGGACAGAGGGCGACTTCTGTTTCCCAAAGACTAAGGGCACTCACCTCTCCAACAAATAATTTGACAGATTAAGTATAAAAGAACAACAGTGATCTGTTAATATAGCTAAGACTCATGCTCCTGAAAAGATTCCTGAATCAATTACACAGTCACATTTATGAAGTAGCTAGCTTAAAAAAAAAAGTCATGCAAAATTGCAGCATGCTTTTTCTTAAATTAATGTTAATTCCCGATTAAAGCTTTTTCTTTAAAAAGTGTTAATTAAGCCTTTTGCAAGGACATTGCATTTTAGTAACATACACCTCATATCATCTCAGAAATGCAAAGAAAAAAAAAATTACCTGCTGCTCATCTTTAACATAGTAGATGGAAACCTGTGCCTTACCGCACATTCATTTTTAAAGAGGTCGTTCCGTAGATCAGACTCTAAACTTAATACAGCCTTTAAAAATAGCAGCCAGATCCTAGGCCCTTGTTTATCACTATCTGCATAGCAAACAAACACACTGCCAACATTTCACCCTTTTCATTTGCTTTTACCTTGCAATAGTACAATTATAAGTATTTTGGCATGTTATACTCTCTATACTTACAGTACTTCAAGGGATAGTGACCAGGACCATTGAGAAGAGTTGCTTGTTTTTCAAGCATGAGATGCACTTCTGTACTAACAGAAAGCACTCTGCAAAGGAAATGTGTGCCTGTTTCAGCATTGAAACATTCCTAATGCACTTTGCAACCCAATCATTTTAATAACCACTATATGCTGAGAGTCTGCACTAAGAATATCCTCAATTCTTCAGGAAAAAAAACAACAGGTGAATGTAAAGATCCATGAGTCTCTTCATCATAAATAAACCTTCAAGTGCAAGTCTTTTTCTAATAAAAGACAGATAGCCGATTAGTGTCACCTTTATCAAATAGAAATATATAATATTCCTACATAGGAATATTATATAAATAGGAATATATAATCTTATATAGATTATATTATATATTAGATAAAATATATTATATTTATATATATTATATAAATAGGAATATATAATATTCCTATAGGAATAGGAGTATATAATTCATTACTGAAGAAGCTGCACTTCTGCCCTGTTCCTAGCGTCTCTAATAACTACATATACTTACAATATCTCAAAGAGCTATAGCTAACTTTAACTCTTCCATTGTCTATTTATGTTTCCTATCATTCATGACAAGAGCATTCATTGTCAGAGTACTTCTTATGGCAACAAACATCAAGTACTGGATTTACAGCTCATTCAGGCTGGTCTTTGTTGAATATTTAGTGCTCCTCTTCACCATTCCTGTGAAATTCCTAAATAGGCTTTTAGGAATTTTAGGAATTTAGAATTTCAGCTATAATAAACAGATTTAGGAAAAAAAAAAAAAAAAAAAAAAAAGTTGCACAGTTGCCAAAGCCCTTAACTGGAGTTACCATTATCGCTTTATCACATTTTCCTGCGAGACCAGTGCTCTCTACCTTTCTACTTCAATTTTTTTTTTTAAACTACTTTTCTATTTGATTTTCTATTTTACCAAACCATAGGAAACAAGGCTTTTGCAACAGAAACAGAGGAGCTATTAGGGTCCATTTGACAAATACAAGATTTTCTTTGTCCTGAGTATCTCAAAAGAGAAGGCAAACCTCATGCCTTCAGAGGAAAAAGAAGGCATTTTTATTTTAAGCAATTTCTTTTTCTTTTTAAAGTACTGAACATCTTTTAAAAAATACATACTTTTTGAGAAATATTTATACAGTAGCATAGTTCTCTTTAAAGTATTATTTTTTGATATGAAGTACTAATAATCAGGAGACAGCCTAAGAGGTTAGTTTCAGAGCGGAGGTTTATATTTATAGTGACATATCCTGAACCAGAAATGACCAATTGAAAAAGATATTGCCAAACCACATAGAAAAAGATATTGCCAAAATCTAGTACTGGATTTAAACATTAATTAAGCAGTAGGAATCAGTTAGTTGTACATCAGAACAGAATAATACAGCCAGCAAAATGAAGAGGTGCTGAGAAACTGGAATTATTATTTAAAACCAAAGGTAGAGAAGGCAGACAGTCATAACTGCTCCATCATTTCTGCCTTTTTTTTTTTTTTCCTGGAGACACAAAGGGTATCCAAAGGACACATCTGACCCCAACAAATACTTTGATTCGACTCAGTTGGACCAGTCAGGTCTTTTTTACAATATATGCAGCTTTGCAAACAGCAATAGCATTTTAAAAAAAATGTCAATATTTACAATATTTATTCTTTCACTTTGGCAGTATTCTTACTTCTTTTGCAGTCCCTGATGCTCCAGGCTCATGTTTAGCACACAATGGTCCTGCCTTCCATGCCTCCGTATCCCCACAATCGCAAAATCCTCCTCCAGTGGAGCTATGCATCTGTAAAAATAAGTATTTCAGTAATGCAATATGTATTTAAAAAGAGAAAAATAAAAATATGCAATATTTAAGTCCAGTATAGACACCAATATAATGGTCTGTTTACAAAATACAAAGTACTGCAAAATTCACAAACTTCCCACTATTTTTTAAGAGAAATTGAGACCTTAAAGTCTGAAAAGAGAACCTTTTTGAGCATAAAAAATTGGAAATACAGCTACTGCTACAAAAATATGTGCAAGTCTTCAACAAAATTAGCTTTGAAGCAAGTGAAAAAAACTCTTACCATTTCATAAACAGCAAAATAATCTGTGACTTTATGAGACAAAACTATAAAAATGCTTAACACCTTTATAAATCAGAATAAAGTAGAATCTAAAAATGAAATATGAAGATGCGTATAATAAACAGATATTTAGTAGTATTTCCATTGCTTAACAAACAAAGTAAGTCTTAAAATGAGAATCTAAAATACAAGCTTGCAACTTTAATTTCATGTGATGCTTTTAGAAAAGTAAAAATTCTGACCTCCTGCTTGTCAAAAAGTTCAATTGAAACTCAGGCAAAAAAAAAAAAAAAAAAGTTATCCATTAGTTGTCCTGAACCCCCCAAAATATGTGACTAATAAAAGGCTTTCAAAAATTAATTATTTTCCTAAAGTGTTTTAAAATGAGTTGATCTAATTAGGCCTGTTTTGAGCAGGAGGTTTGATTACACAACCTCCTTAGGTCCGTCCCAACCTCAATTATTCTAAGAATCTATGAAAATAGAGTAGAATTTGTATTCTTTATGCTGTATTTTAAAATGCAAGCACAGCAAATCCATTCCCATCTGACTGCCTATTGTCTGATGTTCTGCCTGCAGACAACCTTACCTCACTGAAAAACAAGGAAAAGAAGACAAGAAATTGTTTCCACTACCCAGCTGTGATTTCAAAATGCTCCATACCCATGAATACCTATTTTCTTTGGTTTTCAGCTTACCTCTCTTTCAACTCTCCATATGTGTGCGTGTGTGTTCATGCACACGTATACCTCATAAGCATTACTCAGGGGAGTTTTGTATGTCTTTGAAGACATTTCAAATATGAAGACTCGAACAAAGGGGTAGAATATCATATTTTAGTGCTCTTAATTGTGCACTTGGTACCTTCCTGCATACTCTCTCTCATGGAGGTGTTTCCAGTTCAAGTGGATTTATGACCATTTGACAAAGCAAGGAGAAAAAGAAGTCTCTTAAAATGAATACATCTTTATTGAGCAAAGAAATAAATTTAAGAGAAGTCTACTTCACTGTTCAGTGGTAAAAGATAAATAAATTAAAAGTTAAAACATTGAATCTCTCCAAGATGTTACAGATTTGGCTCAGAGAGAAGGATAACAAAAGTTTACCAGAAAAAGTTGATGCAGTTTTAAAATGATCTCCTCACTAAAATTCTGATGCTTAACATTAATTACTTTTATAGTCCATGCTCTAAGTCCAAAGCACTTCATGCAAATCTAAATAAAGATTCAGATTGGGAATGTCCATATGTTACAGAAGTGATGAAATAATGGTCCTAAACATATAGGTGTATATATATATTTTTTTCATACTAGATTTCTGGAGAGAATGTGGTCTTGTATAATAAGAACTGTCTGGGACTCTGGACAGGATTGCCACTTCCATTCACAGTTTTTTGCTAAGGTGTAGACACTATCCTCTTTGGTGATGTTGCCAAAGAGAACACAATGTATACATTCACCGATACAGTCTTACTCTTCACGTCTTACAAACTTGTTTTCCCCAAAACAGGTTTCACACATAAAACCTGTTGTTAGAAACATGACAGCCAAACATAAAAAAAAAAATCTGAGATTTTGTTAAAAGTTACTAATGTAGTTTACTATATCCTTGAATGAACAAACAAAAAGGTCAAGACACTGTACTTGTTTAGATAATTTTAATACATGATTTTCCTACCTTGTACCGATGATTTTTGTGGATGCTGTTCTGGAAGCAGTCCATGCATAGCACACATGTTGGATCAACTGCACAGTCTCTGCAACAAATATCATCACTCAGTAACTTTCTGAGAAAAACAAATGGAATTTTCATGCACAGAACATAATACTGCTCTAAAAATTTGCGCTAAAAGATTTGTATTACAAAACCATCAATAACTCCATGTCACAGAAAGAGGATGAAAGTCAATCTTGTTAGGCTCAAATCACACACTCCGGTTTATTAGAAATATGTTTGATTTATACTTTCAAATCCTGTTGCTAACATACTTCTTTCATTGCCCAGAATGACAAGTTACTAAAAAAAAATACATAACAGGACTGACTTTGGAGTAACTTTTATTACTGTTTCCAATAACAACTATAGTAACTTTGCCACAGGACCATTAGGCTACATTTGAAGCTTTTTAAACAGTTGCAAGTTACAAGTTAAGAGCACTTTTAAGAGCACTTTTTTTTTGTTAGCATCTTAGAACTCTAAAGGAAAGACTGGCTTGACTTGAACAGCAGCACTAAGACAGGATGTTTATAAACACCTCTCAATTATTGCAAGATAGCAACTTAAAGATTAAGAAAAATAAGTTGATTAGCCATCACTGAGAAATATAGCTCTGTCATTTTGCCTACTATCACACAAGAACTCCACAGGGACAGAAACAGTGGTATTCAACAGCACTGAACTGCTTTGACCATTATTCTTTTTCCTGACAAGCCATAGTCCCACTTGCTATACACTTTCCTGCAAACATGTAAGATTCCTACAAATCCTTTGGACTTTATCTTGCATCCTAAATATTATTATTCATCATTAATAAAATTATTTTGGCATTTCAGGTGAAATGTCTGGACTTTTAAAATAGCCTAAAAATGACCAAAAAACTATCATAGAGAATCATATTAATACCACTAAACTACCTGCTCACTTGCAATCTTTGCAGCCATCATGAAGACCTCTGATATACGAATTAATGAAGTTATATCATATCAACAGCATTTCATCTTTAATAGACATTAGGGTGAAAAAGAAGAAAAAGACATCCTTGGCTTACGTAGATATTGCTCAAGCAGCATATTGCTCATTCAGAAACACCGGGTTGTGTTTTAGACTTTGAAAAGATGAGTAAATTCTGCAAAAGTGTTCAAATTCTTACGACTGTTTACCTCTTCAGCACCATGTACATATCCCATACTCACACCAAGTCATACAATCTTTTTAACCAGTGACTTTCAGTATCTTTAGTGTCCTTTCCATTTCGTCCCCCTTTTCTCTGCCATCCTATTTCTATCATATGTAACTTTGCCTACTGTAAAGTGGTTTGAAATCTGAGGCAAATGCCGCTGTCCTAAGACCTGCTGTGACACAAATGATGATTACTTTGCACTGCAGCTAGTTCCATTAGGACTACTTGGCTGCACTGTCTCACAAGGGAGCAGAGATGATGACAGCACATACCTTTGTGCTTACCTGCAAGAATACGTTGTCTCCCCTCCTTTGAACACCTTCCCACAGAGCTGCGAGGTTCCACTCTGCTGTAATTTCTCTAGGAAGGTATCTGGGTCTTCCCCAAATAAATAGCACTCAAGAGGGTAAAGTATCATTGCCTGGACCATCTCTTCTTGCTTCTCCAGCATGGGGTCCATTTCAGCTGAGTAGATATTTGGCACATGTTTGGCCAAGCACTGTAAAAAGGTAGTCTGGAAGTCGAATCTTTCATCCCACCACTGCAAGAAAAGTAAACCAATGGGTAAACATTAAACAATAAATAAATATAAATGAATTAGCACATGGGTAGCTCTACAGTACTCTCCAATTGCTCTAATTCTGCTCTTCAAGTCTGAACAGTCTTTCTTTCATATTATTCCCATTACGTAGAAAAACCTGTTGGTTTTCCTCACTGCAAACCAGGTAACAAATTTACTCACCAAGACTCTTCACGAACCTCCTTTCACATACAACATTGTTTTATCTCTCAAAATCTTATTTTTGCAAGAAAAATGCATACACCTTCACAAAGAACTCTGAGAGGAGTTTTTTTCTAGGTCAGCAAGCAGAGAATGAGCAAAGGACACAAGAGAGCTTGGTCTAGGAAGAAGCCCAGTAGCAGTAAAATATCTATCTTGTTTATCTTGTCTAAAGGATAAAAGTGCAGAAAATCTTATGTGAAAGGCCCCCCCCCCCAAAAAAAATCTGATTTCTGACTTAAGATAAAAACCTACATTGACACAACCAACAAATTATTCCTAAAAGTTGATCAGTTGATAGAGATAAATAACTATATACAGATCTATAAGGCTACAGTGCCCTATTTTACTATCAAGATCAACAGTTCTCCAGAAAAAAACAGAAGAAAAAAAAAAAAAAAAAAAAAAAAAAGAGGAACAGATGCAATCTGGAATACTGCAACTCCAGGACTCCTAAAGCTAGAGCTGCATAATATCAAGTAGTAATTGCTCATTTGCTTTTTGACTGCACTAAGTAGACAATTTTCAAGTACAAACCTTTCTATATACAAAATCTAAACAGAAGAAACAGAACTGAGATATCAGATTAAGACAGCCTGGATTAACTATAACATTCACTACCTAAAGCTGAACTGTCACAAGAGATTTGTTCCATTTTGTATCCACACCAAACAACATTCTCAGTATGCCCTGAGTAAGGAAGACAATATCTAAAGTACATTTAGTTTTATCCTGAGGCTTCTACTGATACTCTGGCCATCATACATCATTTCTCCTGGTGATCCATGAACTCAAAAATCATGCAAGAAAATGCACAGCCGATGCTGATGGACAAGAGGAGTGAAGCCGTGGGCAATATTGTCAAGCAGAGGAGAAAACTTGTCCCTAGCTCATGCTAGCATTTCTGTCTTCTCGAAAGTACAGACTGACCAAACTAATCAAATTTCTTGAATCACAAGGCACTCAGCTCACCTGCTCAGTGTCAGAAAACAAGGATCCCTTTTCTAAGTGAAGGGAACCACTAACCACTTCAATTCCAAATCTTGCAAAAAAATCTCTGTCTAGAAACACAGCCAAATTTGTTACTTGAACAGTCTGCACCAAGCAGGTCACTTGAACAGTCAGGTGCTAAAAACTCTTAGCATTCACATGCATATATGGATATATCCACACACTCAAGATACAGATGTGTATGTATTTTCATATATTCATATATTTTCACTTTGTTTTTGAACTTCTCAAATCCAAAAATGTTATTTTTAAATATGTTTTAACTATGCTTAGACAGATTTCATTTACTTTTCACAATGTAAACTGAATCCAAATGCACTCAAGGCTGCATAAGAGTTATTAAAAAAAAAAGGCTGACCAAAGGTTCTCAAAAAGAATATCTTTTTTTTTTTTCTTTTTAATTGGGAAGAAGCCAATTATTCTAACTCCCTAATGAAACTTCAGAATTAAATGTTCCTGATGTTTTTGTAGCTTACCTATATTGCAATAAGGCATTTCTCAAGCTGCCTCCCAATTTGGGCACACTATCTGCTCGGATAAGGGGAAAAACGGTGACCTCTTGGCCTGCTCCCTTTCAGGAGCACAAGAGAATCCCAAGGTTCAGCTCTTCTCTCTTAATTAGCTATTTTCCCAAGAGACAGGATAAGTTTAGCTTCGGTGTTGTTGGAACAGAGTGTATAATAGCTTTGAGAAAGACAGGACTGAGTTTTCCTGAAAATATGCCAGAAGCGCAGAGCAAGTTCTCACACAGACTAATTCCCAAACGTTTCAAATGTTTCAAGCATTCCTACACCAAGCTTTTAATTCTAGTTATAGGTTGCCTGGAAGACAGGAAGTAGAGAAAGAGAGGAAAGAGACTTCTCTCAAGCAAGCAGGATGGCTGCATTCTGGTAAAGGCATTAAGATTTGTCTTCAGCCTGATGTTCATCCACTCACTAGAACATTCACTATATTCATGAAGAGAAATAAAAAAAAAAAAAAAATTGTGGTTAGAAGTTGCCACCAGCCTAAATTTCAGATCTCTCCAACACCTGCTGTATCTCCTAGGAGAGGTAATATATTTCTTGCGTCAGTGTCTGTTCCATGTGCTATAGCTAGCTGTATAACGCTGCACACAAAACTTCAGCTGAAATATAAAAGAAGTCAAATAAAGCACATCCCCAAGTTAAGACTGCCTAAGATATGTTGGCTTGGTCTCCTTGTGCACACCTGAAAACTAAGGTCAACTTCGTCTAACATTAAGAGCAGTCCTGTCTTTCCTTACATTATTAGGAAGCACATTAATCAAGACAAAAACATTGTATGTTATTAAAACAGGATTATCAGCCTCGAGTCCACAGACCTCTGACATTCACAGACCCCTCGCTGGGGCACCAGAAGAGCACCAGAAGAAACCCCCTAGGAAGGGGACCGGCACTCACACCACTCCAGTCCAGGCTACTCGATGACCTTTGAGGTCCCTTCCAACCTTCGGCATTCTATGATTCTATGAAAACATTTCTGGACTGCAAACTGAAAACCACTGAATTAAAAAAAAATAAAAATTTAAAAATAAAATCACTACTGCATATGAGGGGAGTAAATTAATATTTTAATATTGAAATTTCTCAGCTTTAAAGTAAAAAACTTTTCTTGTATCAATACATCCTCTCTGTGAAAACAGCCTAAGTTCGTCTTCACATGCGTAAGCTACTGAAATCCTTCCAAAAGTCAGTCCCAATCAAATAGACAGCTTTATCCCTCATCTAAAAGGACAAACAGTTGTAGGTTTTTTCCGAGACTCTTTAGGAGAGCATTATGTTAGGAAAGTTGGAGGAGGAAGCCTACAAACAGAAATACTATTGCAAAAAGAGCAAAATTTTGGATGCATTAGTTGGAGTATACTCCAAACAGTGGTAGGAATTAAAAGCTAAGTACGCAGGGAAAAAGAAAAAAAAAATTAAATGCTTTCAAATCACTTTGCACCTACAGATCAAGCATCAAATAAGATCTCACTAACACAACAGAATTCCTTCATCATTGTAATAGGTTTAATATATATATTAATTCAGTGATCAGTACTTCCATATAGTTTCTGTTTTACATTATAAGCCTAACTCTGAATCATAAACTCTTTTCAAACTATTAGTTTGCATTAAGAAATGCTATAAAACAGCTCTGATTTTACTGCTGATTGACACATTGATCTTACAATGCAAATGTGACAGCATTTATATTTCTAAAAATATAAGGCTTTTAAATTTATGTTAACGTAACTAGAGAAAAGAATATTAATATTTACTAACATTAAATAATAAATTACAAGAAAGCTTAGACTGGGAATGTCAAATTTATCAAGCTTCGGATAGCAATTTCAGCTGCCTGTCAAAACAGTAGGAAAGACCAGACTTCTGGAAGTAAATGGATAAAATCTTAGGGAGGGATGAAGAGACCAGCTGATTTCAAGCCAGTGCCATTCAACATAAATATCAAATGCCAAAGGCTGTTTTACTTTAAGAAGGTCAATATCCTCTACACTGTCCTAGAAACACAGGAGCTCTGACCTGGAAACATAAAAGAGCTGTTTGATCTGCACATTCATTTAGGCATTGGCCGCTGAGCCAAGACTACTAGGACGGGACCAATTGCTGTTAGAAGATGCTTTAATGATGCAGGTGTTTGCCCACTGGGAATTAGACTCAGAACAACAGCACAGACTGCTAAAACCTTGGCTGCAGTGGAAACCACCTTGACTCCAGCAGCCCCAGTGACTGCCAGTTCAGCTGAACCACAGAAAACCAACGTCAACCTGAGAAGCAACAGCTAACACCAGTGTTCAGGCAGTTACTATTTCAGCAAACTATGCTGGACAGCTAACAGTGTGATCTTCAGAGGGGGCAACGCACAGATCAGAGCTGCTCAGCCTCCTTGAAACTGCAGGTCAGATATCGATTTTAGGTCACACTTGTCTCCAAAGTCTCACGAACACATTTTCCCATTTACAGAGATAACTATTTGGATGCAAACTGGTGCCCAAGGAGATATTAAAAGCAAAATCGCGGGCTGTAATTTCTCCCTACCATACCACTAACCAGCAGGACACTCTAGCCTAAATATTCCACAAAACTAGCAGGATTCAACAGGCAAAACAAAGTAACTAGCAATTCTAGAAATAATTCCCAAACTTTTGAGGTATGAAATCCAAACATCTTTTGTGATTTAAATTTGTTAGCTGCAAATTAGGTAGACAGCAATATGTAATTTATGTATCAATACTAGGAGAAACAAAAACTCTGTAGCAGGCATTAAAGCAAAACAATAACCAAAACACCTATTTTTGAAGGGAGAAGAAAGGAGGAAAAAAAAAAAAAAAAACCATAATCATTCTCCTTCGGGGAAGAAAAAAATAAAAAGGAAAATCATAATCTTTGTGGATTTATTGGTAGTATTATGTTAGAGTTAATAAACCTTTTCCTTTAAGTTTTAGATATTCACTTGGCAGACTCAAAATTACTCTTTGTCATTTTGTTTCTAAAAGAACAAAGGAGAGGGTTTCTTTCCTTCCTTGTTTGATCCTTTGCATCCATGCTGTGGTCTCCTATCCTCTAGGGAACAGGATATCCATCCAACTAGTTAGCACCAGAGAGCATGCACTTCAGAAACTTCATATTTATGCAGTCATGGTGCATATTTGTCTTTAAAAAAAATCATTAATCTATTTTTTAAAGGAGAGCTTCCATTTGTTTATACTGGGTTATGTTAATTCTCATGTCCTC